ATACATCCTAGATGGGACTCTAGCCCATCACTGGGAAAGAATAATCCCAAATTAAAATGTTGATTGCAGAAGTATCCTCCTCACACCAAACCCTAAGTCAGTATTTGCTAGAAGAACCTTTAACAGCAGTTACAGCAGTTTTGGACAAGTCTCTACCAACCTGCTGAAAGCTGAATTTTGGTTCCAGCTTTAGGTATTTAGCAAGTAAAGCAGGTTTCTCACTCAGATATCCTCGTTCTTTGCTCCATCATTTTTCTTCTCAGTCTGTAGAAGTTTCCCAGTCTTTGCTGATGAGTAGCTGCTCAATAGTGTAGTGCTGCCACCTCAGTGCTTTGACAGTAAGGATGGTGTTGACTGGGAAAATATGCAGTGCTGTGTTTGTGACAGATGCTTCATATACAGTATAAGCTCAAAAAGGCAGAATGAGAAGTTGTTTAACAAAGTTCATCCATATTCATACCCATAATAATATTTACATGAAACATCAGAATCTTTGGCCTTAAGGACAAGCATGTACTGTATAACCTGTGTTGTGGCTTAGGCTTTTTGAATTTCAAATTAATGGCTATCTGGTATCATAGGGCAATGTGGGAGTAAACATTGAAAGATATTTTATTCTTCCTCTTAATTACCTCAGACACTATTCCACATGAACTTTAAACTTCCTATATTTCAGTAATTTCATGGTTCATTTTCAGTGTTTTTAATCAAGTCATGTTGAAATTAACCAGCACCTGAAAACCCTAATTAAAAGCACTATTTGACCCTACTGGCATACTGTCATTTGTTGCTTTTTCCTTTTTTCTACAAAAAAATAGATTTTAATTAACATGGAGTGATTTCAGGAAATTATGTAAGACCAGCTTATCAACCCTTCCCCATCGTCCTACTGGATAATACTGAACTCAATTAGTTCATCAAGTCCAAGTCATGATAAGAAGACTGGGATCATTAATATGGTGTGTTTATTGTTGTTGTTACTGTTATATAAAAATATAATTTTTCTAAAATTAAAATTAACATTTTCTTGTACTTTTGCAACTTTTAAATAATATGAAGTTTGTGGAGAATTGATAATGTCATAATAATTATAATTAATCAACAGTGAACATCCAAGATAGGTTGGAAGAGCTTGGTTTACTTGTTAATTCATTTCTCATGCTGTCAGTGTGTCCTGTAGTTTACTGTACATGGCTCCCTTGGCAGTTTTATCACTGATAAAACTAGTGTTGTGATTTTTAATTTGCAAGAATCCTCAGTCACAATTTCTTGATGTTATGGGCATGGAATTATATCGATCCATCCATCACAAGGCAAAGGGTGCAACTGAAGCAAGGAATCCAGTTAACTTCATCAGCATGTCTTTAAAAGATGGCATGGACTTTGCACATTTACAGTACATACGAATATGAACAGTGTGTGTTCCTGGTCCTAAATTGTAGGAGAGAGGAAATTATTTTGGGAGACTGTTATAATTATTAATGCTTACCGTTATTGCTATTTATGAAGGTTTTTCTGTTTTTCTGAAATAAAATTGATTAATAAAATAACTTGCAGTTATAAAAAATCATTAGCAGTCTTGCTTGTAATGAAGCCTCTTAGTACCAGTTGTGCAGTACTGTTTTTTTCCCAAGCATGAGACTGCAGGAAGTCGGCAAACATACAAAGGATCATCTTTGGATGAGATGGTTGTGTTGTTCTTAATGTGTATTATTTCAGTTTGCCATAATGGAATACTTCTCTGAAAATGGTGACTAAACCTATAGGAACTGAGTTTTTATTACTTCCATAGGTCCTGATTTTGTTTGTATAACTAACCATAGTACAGCTTTACACCTGCAGTATCAGTAAACTGGTTTTCTTTTCATCTTTGCCAGGCTTTAGGTCACAGACAAGTGTAATCTGTTCTAAGGATTTCATTGCATGACACTGTTTCATAAGGCTCTGGAGATCACTGGCATGAACTGGAGCTTTAATTTTGCTGTCTCACCAGCAAGACAACAAACTAAGGGAGAAAATGGGAGGAGTTCTTTACACAGGGAGTGAGGGCATTGTGCTCCTACATTTGTTTCTCACAATAGTACTGACCTTGACTGCATTCCATTCTCAGCCTTGGTGAAACTGACTTACTGCACCTTAATAGGTCTTTTAGCAACACAGCATTTTTCTTGTTCTCTTGAGTTTCACAATTTCATGTTTGGCTGCGCAGATTAAGATGCTGGCTTACATCTTATAAATAAACAGGCCCCTCTAAAATCAATGCTTTATCCACAAGATTACTCTAAATCCACTATGAGGTTTTCTGTGTTACAGTATTTTCCTGCATAGAAAGCCTGTTTTAGTTAGAAAAGTGGGCATGTCTGGCTCTGTGTTATAATCACAAAGCATAAGTGTTTCTTCATGACTGGGCAGTGAGTGCAGTGACTCTCTGTCCTGTCTGAGGATGCCTGTATTTGAGTGAAACAAAGAAGTAATACGAATTATTTTATTCTGAATGAACTAAACTCGGTAGATTAAGGCAACTGATTTTACCAATACCCTGAACAGTAATGCAAGTACAATATTATGTGCCGTTACAGTAAAACCATCATGCAATGAATACCTTAAAACAATTCCAGCATATCTTTAGTATTTGTTTTCTTTTTTGTCTTTAAATGGGGCCTTCTTTGATTTCTTATGGTGTGATATTAGTTAGTTCCTACCTGTTATTTTCCTTTAACAATGGCATTATGATACTATTTTCTACACAGGTTTTAAGTCTCATGTACAGTATATTTTTCATGTTGGCTTTTTTGTAAAGTGTTATAATTGCATATTTTGTAACTAATGTTTGAGGGTGACAACTGAATAGAAACAAGTTTCACAGATGAGAATATCCTGGCAACACCTGCTGTTGTATTTACTGATCTGTAATCACAACTATTGTGAATCCTAAATCCTATTTAATAATAGTTTGTGGTTTTCTCTTCCCAAATAAGTGTGGGTTATGTTTCATGGGCCTTTTATTATAATGGGTTTTTGGATTTTTTGGAATACAGTAAGTATTCACCAAGAAAGTGACTTTTGGATTCAAAGCTTCATATAATTCATATAATTTTTCTTCAAGTCCCCAGTTAGGTTCCAGCAGATCTGTTCTGCATGGCATCATTTTACACACAGAGAATTGTCTGACGTGTTCACTACTGTACATGTGAAAATCTGTCTGCTTCCATAAACAATGTTTGTGCTTGTATTATTTACAATTTAAATAATTAAAGCATCTTTAGAAAAGTTTATTCTTTACATTTTTGTATTATACATTTAAAAATAGGGCATTTGTAGTCTGTGTTTGGTCATTTGTTGAGTTTGGGCATTTTTTGTTTTAGTTCTGTGCTTGTAACTTATTAAGTAGCAATGTGCAAGTCATAGGAGTTACATAGGAGGCACATTTGTTTGTTTGTTTTTTGAGGGAGCAGGGTGCTGGGATAAACCTGTTATTTCCCCTTGTTCTTCCCCTTTGAGGTGCATTAACAAGAATAAACCATATACAGGTGTGTGGAGAGAATGTAAAAGCCGATGTTCGTAATCATGTTGAAGTGTGGCGTCACAGAAGGTCAGATTTTCAGAGAGAAAAAGACATAAAGTATAGTCAGAATAAAATGTCGACTGTATGACATGACTGTATGAACAGCATGAGCCTTCCTAAATGTGAAGACTTTGAGGTTCTGACAATATATGCAGGGAAATTTATTGTGTGTGCGGCATATGATATATACCATCTGCCCTTAACTTGTGCCTTATCTGTGGAAGGCTTTACTTGTATATGACAGAATTTTTCTCTTCAGGAAGTTTTTAACTGTGTTTTCATAGATAGCATGGCCTATCTTTATATTTGTTTTAATAAGAAATTTATTTTGGATTGCAAAGTAGGTCTGTGTTGAGTTAAATATAGTATGTCATAGAAGCTAAAAGACACTTGTTTATATACAAGTATGTTATATTAAATAATACAACTATAACATCAATGTAGGAAATATTTCTTTGATTTAAGGCTCGCACTAAGGTTCCTGTGACTAAGCTTCTAATGCTGTAGCTGCGTGGTTTCCTCTGTGAAATTAAGCAGGCGTCTACAGGGATGGCAGGGGAAGAAAAGAGTGTTTCACAACTGAGTGGTCAGTAATTGGATAAAATAGCAAATAAAGTTCCAGCTTAGAGATACTGTATCTCTGAGCCAAAAAAAATAAAAATAAATAGATACTGAAGCACCATAAATTGTTTTTGAAGTACATGCACACCTATCATGTGACAGTTTATGAAAAGAGGAGTGGACAGATATATCATTCATGATTCATACTTTGCCTTAAGATGAAACACGTGTTTTGTGAGAAACCTTTAGATAGCTCCTTTTATTAAAAAAAAACAATATATAAGAAACTGGTGTGGTCATGTGTTTTGTTTTAAAGCTTCAGTTTAAGAGGTTTCATTCAAGACACAAATAAATCACTCTGCCTAGTGTTTTTGCCCTAGTATGATTAAATTTACTGTACTCATTCACTTGACGTTTTCAAGTTTCAAGTGAGACTAATATGTATATAGCAGAAGTTAGTTTTCTAATTCTTAATTTCCTTAATAGAGGAATGAAACACATTAATCACTGTTTAGTTAAAACTGTTGTAGTTAATTTAATTAAAATCTGAAACGTAACTAGATTGGTTTGTTATAGAAAAACACATTGCGCAATTTACATAAATGTATTGACTTTATTCTAACCAATATCATAAATTGAGTTATTCGTTTAAAGATTATATTTGAAAAACAACAATAGAAAATATAAAGTTATGCTGAACTGTACTTATTTAGTACTCATAAACCTCAGAATGGTATACTACCTGGTCAGCACTGTTTTCTTAAAATACCATTCAGAACAACATATTTGTTGTCCTTTCTTTAGTACGGGCAGCAATAAAAAAGACACTATTTCCAGAATCAGCTCTGACCGTTTTTTTTATTTCTTTTTGCAGATAATTATTCTGTCTCTGCTGCAGAAAATGGGGGCAAATCTGAGTCCGTGGCCAATCTGCAGCCACAGACTTCAATGAGTTCCATCCAGACAAGCTCCCCAGGCCCCAAACGTTCAGGGAACACGCTGAAAAAATGGCTGACCAGCCCAGTGCGGAGGCTGAGCAGCGGAAAAGCCGACAGCAATGTCAAGAAGATACCCAGTAAGCCTAAAAAGAGGGACAGCCGGAAGAGCTTAGACCTGGGCTCCCCCAAACCGGGAGACAATGAGACCACTCCACAGGATGACAGCGCCGACGAGGTAATGTTTCACTTCCTCTCATGGTTGTGACATGTGAAAGTGAAAATGGTTCTTAAAACATTTTTGCACAGATTCGTCTTTCAAATAACAAGGAGCCCGTTTTCTGAATAATTACCAACACAAAATGGCCACACCTTTTATGTTTAACTGAAGCGACACATAGATTTCAATTGACCGCTTTTGATATTTACTCTCAGAAGCCAGACTTTTAAGAGATAAAATAGGAATGAAGTTATTTTCTGTGGTCATTAACTGTTAAGGAACTCAAAATGTTTAAAGAAGACATATTGTTAAAAGAACAGCAAAACCTGCTCCTTTTGTCTGCTGTATTCCTTTCTATTTTAGTTATGCAGTCAGTGTTCATGATGGGTGGGTTCCCAGGGAGGCGGCAATTCAATACTGATTCTGCAGCTATGTAAACTCAAGATGTGTGTTTGTGTGGTAACATGGCCTAAACTCTAATGGAAGCCAGATGCAGACAACAAGTGTCATTCCTTGTTAGAATTCACCTATAGTATATCTAATATCCATTTTACCACAGGAGCAAAGCTTTTAACATCACTTACATGACTGAGTTTTTCTGTTTCGCATGTATAAGAAAATGTTGTTCTTCACGCTATTTGTAAACCGCCAAATTCATGGTGGGACCTACGGCAACTAGTTCAGTTCTGTACAAGATGTCTCCTTTCTACTGACCTTTTTTTCCTTGTAAGTTGGTGCTTCACAACACATGCAAAACACACTTTCACAAGTTTCACAATGAATTAATCCATTCACTCCTACTTAAAAAAATAAATTAATCAATTTTCCACTTAGGAAACCATGACGTACAGGGTATATCATGGGACTGATAATTGCTTATTCTTTCTACGTATTCTATTGAATTCAAAAGCTTCCATATGTAACTTATGCTAAAATGTGACTCACATGGTTGACTCCAGTAAAAGAACCTCATGAAAAAAAACAGTTTTTCTTTCTGTACACCACTGCCACCACACATTATTTGTGTTGGCAAATGCACTGATGTAGCAGTAAAATAAGTGAGACTGAAATTATTTTTTTTAAATAAACTTGCGTTGCCAGTGTTTTTCAGTCTCTTAAAGAACTCTATAACTAGGAATAGCCTATTGTTATTCAACACCATTAAATGCTAAAATCACCCTGTCTAAAAATTAAATAAATTTAACTTAACATGCCACCTCTTTCTTTTTTTAGTACAACATATATGATCTAAAAACTCTAGGCCTCATCTCAACTAATAATTATTGCACAGTATTATAATTTGTATTTATTATTAATTAAATATCATTTAAAAAATAACACTGAAACGTTTTTACACGTTTTTAATTAATCATTATGAGCTTTGCATTTTCCAGTGTATCATAAGGGTGTCATGTTTGTCATCATTATTTTTGGTTGAGTTTCTCCAGCTTCTGCTTTTCCCAGTACATGCAGTTACTTTCATTTGGCTGGTTTCCCATTTCTTATTAGCATTTATGCCTCCAAAAAGAAAAAAAGTGGCTTTTTATGATAATTGTCTTATTTGAAAGCTAGTGCTAACTTATTGTCATAATATGAACCTCATTGAATTTTCCCCTCATTTAATTTAAATGAATTTCTGTGAATGGAAGAAAAAAATCACTTTCTTCTCATTATTTCACTATTCTTCGAAGCTGAAGAATGTCAGAGAAAATAGATTTCTATCAGATGTTTTTTGTATTATTGTTAATAAACATACTTGATTTTTGTACTGACTTTAGTGTGCACTTTTGAATACTCTAGCCACAAAACCAAATGTCTTGTGTACTTAAGATTTATAGCACTTTAATTATGTTTTAAAGCATAAACAAACATGTAAAACCTTTTCCTTTTTGACAGAATTTGTAGCAGATTAGAGTGTTGCCAAAAACCTTGGTTTCACTCACTACCGGACTCTCATAAGTTAGAATGCAAGTTCTCTACTGCGTGTAATGCTCTGATGTTTGTGTGTACAATCTGTTCTCATAAAGTAAAAACTAGCCTCTTTGTCCTAACCATTTTCCGCAATTTATCTGTGTTTTCAATCTTTATATTGTAAGATATCATGAATGGGCAAGCTACAAAAGCACTTAAGTCATTCTTAGGCTTTTGGATGTCATTAATGAGCACAGTTTGAATTTCCTGTGGCAATTAACATTGTCACATAGAGTCTAATCCTCAACAAAGAGCTACTGTGGCGCAGGGCATAGCTATGAACTTTGTAGTAGGGCTGATGAGATCATTACAATGGATTTCATTAATTCTTTTTATGCCGCTTTCTTCAGGGAAGGAAGGGAATCAAAGATGGCATCATCAGCGGCTCTCTATCCAAGCCGTCTTCTGGAATGCAGAGTGGAGGAGAAGAAGAACCCGATGAAGAATCGCACACCCCACTCCCACCCCCCATGGAAATCATAAAGGATGGCACTTCGCAGGAGGAGAAGGTATGGTGGTGCACACAAGGAAAAAAAAAACAGAAGAAGAGTGGAAAAGCCTGACCTCCATGTTCATAAAGACGGCACAGTGTTCTCTGTGCAAATAGCGAGACAACTGCACTGTACGAGTGCCCCCAACTGCTAATGAAGAGATTACGGATTCACAGGGAGCAACTGTTTAGTTTCGGTACACCTTAGTCTCACTCCATCTGCGGTGTCACTCAGCACAAGTTCATAACGAGTCTCCACCTGTCACTTTTGTTCCCCCTCAATGTGTAAATCATGCTCCTAACAAATGGGTTTGCTGCTTAGCTTTGTCTCTGCTGTCAGTCTTTAGCTGTCTGCACCATCTGCACCTATTAATCCTGTGTTTTCTTAGCATTTTAATAATCCTGGCTTGGTCTCAAAAAGACGTGCTGCCATCAGAACTCTTAATAATGCCTTTTGATATTCATTCTTTTAATAGTGCCAGCTCGAGCTCAGTTTTGACAGTGAGTACTGTACTTCCTACTGGCTTTTGAAGCTGCCCTTTCTTTTGCTGATTTGCCCAAAGCCTTTAGAATAACATCTAGCTAACAAGGCTCGCTTTGTGCAAGCAGAGTATTTACAGGTTCAGAGTATGGCGTTACGTGTTTCTTAAAAATGTATTTATTTGAAATATGCTTTTCTACAGTTGACCATTATGTGTTTATGTACACAGATAAGCATTAAACAGTCCATTATAACTGACTGTATTATTAATGGACTCTAATGCTTTATATACAGTACCAGATTTTTAGGATTTTGCACCCAGTGTTTGACCCAGTGCAAATGTAATGGCCAGTATCTACTTCAAAACACCTCTAAGGCATTGGCCAAAGACCTTGTCTTAGTCTCAGCAAAGAGAAGAAACCTACAGATGATCTCCCTTTTTTTATCTTTGTGGTATGAAAAGACATTGGAGCTAATGAAGATCTGTAGAGGACTGAAAAGAAAAAAAAACAGAAGGGATTATTTGTATTGTGTTGCAGCAGCCATATGCATTTTATTTCTGCCACTGCTATTTTGCACCAAGCCAATGGCGATTTTCTTCTGTTTTCGTTTATAAGCCTAAGTGTCAAAGAAGCGGAAATGATGCAGCCTCCTGCCTTGCAGTTTCACATGATTTTCCTTCCAAGCTTTCCACTTATTCTAACCCACTTCCCTGAACGCTTGTCTAATAACTACCTGTGTTTCTTTTTCCCTGTCCCTTCTCTCCATCTTGCTAATTTGCCGTTCCTTTTATCAAACTGTGCCTGCAGTCCTCCTCATTGCTTACTGCCCGTCACTGCTCAGCTGAAGTCCCCAGTGCAGCGGATCTTGTCAGTGCAATAGAAAAATTGGTCAAAAGTAAGCTGGTAAGTGTGGTACGTCAGCAGTTGAGACAGAACAGCAGTTCAACAGCCCTGCCTTTAATAAGTAGAGCAGTGGAGTTCCTCAGAGTAAATCCATAACTGCCCACCAGTGGAATGAGGGGGACGAAACTTGTGGGTAACCTTTTCCCAGCTGCCGTTTGTGTCGTTGTACAGTAGGAGTGAGAAGAAAAAGTTTCAGTTTGGAAAGTTTCAGTCCTAAACGTGGTCACTGGCAAAGATGTATTTTTTGGCGTAATGACATTTCCATCTTTCCTATAGCATAAGCATGTGTGAATGCATTGATTCACAGATTTTCACACATTAGAGCCTTGTATGTAATATACTTGGATACTATATACAGTATTAGACATAACTTGGCATTGCGTGCAGGATGGAAGGGAGGTTTTAGTTATGCTTCCTTGTGAGATGTATGACCAGTTACAATATATTTCAAGGCATTTTCTACACTGTGGTAGTCTGCTTCACATTTGTTCACATTGCTTTTATGACATCAGTGCATTTTAAGTGTTTTTCTGCATAATGTGTGTGTTTTAGATATTTGTGAAACTGTTTATTCAAGAGCTGGATAACGCAGTGCAATGTAATCTTCATAACGTCTTCAGCCATCCTTTTGAAATGTACCAACTGACTTGTACTTAAAAGGCGTGATTTGAATCATAATGATTTTTTTTCTACTTCAAAAGCCCCTATGAGTAATATTGCCATCGCTTTACATGAATATGTTAACTTGACTGTTTTTTCTAGCTAATGCTTCGTTACATGCAAATGGTGTACTGTATATGTGAGGAAAATAAATGCTAACAGGAACAGATAAACGGAAAGTAGGACAGAGGAGCAAAAGAGAAAAAAAATGTTTCAAACAAAAACAAATGTTGTTTATCTTTCTACTATGCTGGAGGTCAAAACCAGGACAACTGAATAAACTATCATTCAATTTATGTTGTTATACGATATCTTTGAAGTGACAAGAAAATCCCCAACAAATGGCTGGTTATTACTGGAGATGTTAATTTCCTGTGGAAAGGGGTGGATGTTTAAGAGCATAAAAGTAACAGCCATTTGTTGCATCTTCTGTCAGGCAGTAAAGAATACAAATGGCTCTTGTCTTTACTTTTGGACTAATGAATGTGATTGTGATTGGTTGTGTTTTAAATATTTAATGAATATTGCATTTATTGTCTCTTAAATTTCTACCTGGGAAATAAGCATTAAAAACAGGAATGACGGTAACATCTCTTTAGCACCCTGATGCAGCTATGTTTTGCATTTTGTGATCAACCCTGAGACGGCAGTGAGTTCAAATTGTTTTTCTTGCTCATCCACAGACTTTGGAGTCGGGTTCATATCCGAGTTTTAGCTCCATGAATCCACCTGAATCACGGCAGACCACGGTGCAACCTAGAAATCCTGAGGAGGAACAGAAAGCCAAAGCATTACGAGGAAGAATGTAAGCTCTTGGAAGAGAAGATTGCAGAGCTTGAGCCAAGCATTTCATGTATTTTAGTTGTATCCACAACACAATAGCTTACCTCTAATTTGAGAATGAAGGTTTTATTGGATTAAAGCTATTACTTTATAGTTATTGTGTAGTAAATCTACAGACTTTGCAGACATTCTTCTCCAACTTCAGAACTCAGTTTCGGTACATGGTGCATATCTGAAAGGCATATGCCTACAGTAAATCAAAGATGTACACATTCTTGCTATAAACTCTGTCCATGTGATTCCCTTTAAGGTCAGGAGGCAGTATGTTAGGGAATGAAGTATCAGAATTCATACATCTTGTACATTTTTTGTGGCTGTTTCCTTAAACTTTATTTAAAACTGTATTCTTGTAAAGTTATCTGAGATTTAGTTTGTTTTTATAAATGAGTGGGCAACACATTCCATTGTTTCCATGCACATTTCAGTGCTTTTATCAGACCTATAATAGCATTTTATGTTTTCCTAGTTTAATATTGTGTTATGACATGACCTTGAATGAATCTTAGAAATCTTTGAATACAGAACAGTCCTTCAGAGGCATCTGCCTCTTTCTCTTTTCAATGGAAAACAAAACATTTTTATATGGATACTGTATGTATCTTTTTCCAATTCAAACCATGCTATTAAACAAAGATATTGTTTTTTATACTTTAGTACATACAAATAAAGTACAAAGTACAAATAAAATCCTCCATTATCCAGGGCATTATTTCTACAGCTAATGTAGTACACATGTTTGTTACGGCAACCTTTTCTCTTCAGATGAAGTTTTCAAAGGGCGACTAGTATATTCACACTTCAATGACTTGACATTACTGTTCCAAGAATAATAGGTCTGTTTCATAACTAAGAGGCTCTCCCAGCTACATGTCTCCCTTAGGTAACACAAAAAATAATTGATTTTATTTAGTTTAGAAACATAGCTGTAGATATTGAGATAGTGTTAGCTGGAAACACTTCTAATGCTTTGTTTTCCTTTTCTGTCTCTGATTTAGGTTTGTACTTAATGAGTTAGTACAGACAGAAAAAGACTATGTGAAGGATTTGGGTATTGTTGTAGAGGTAAGTGAAATATGGCTTAGGCAGACTTGGTTTGGTTTTGAAACTGAAAAGAACATCTTAGGTTTCTTGTAAACCACCTTGTGTCACTTAGATCAAAAAGAGCTTTCACAAACAGAAAACAAGTTGAGCTTTATGTGTCATTAACACTTGAGACACCTCAGGTCTGGCTATTTTAGATTCTGTGGTGGTAGACATTACATGTTCACCCTATAGACTGCTATGTTGTGTTTTTTTTTTAATCCATTAAAAGCTCTGATCCAATATGTCCATTATCTGTAATTTTTCCTATATATGCCTTGTTACAACCCAGGTCCTAACGTCTTTGAATTATTCTGTTTGAATTACATATCCACTGTTGTGTGTATTATTTCTAACATCTGAAAATTCACTATATTTTCCTTATTCCTTCTCTGCTTTACTTTATTTAAATAACACACCAGTTATACCCCTGATTATATGTGTACACTGTACGTGTGTTTGTACGTCTTCACAAAAGGGAGCAGGTAATTTTAACAGTACATGAAAGGATAAATGTATTGTATAATTTCTCAGTTTGAACAGCAACCATTTTTGTGTCCAGATATGGTTGAGGTTCTTTTTCTCACCTAAAGGTAATGATGTCTACGAATTGAATGTTATATTTTCCTGATTAATTTGTCTTATGATATCAGTGACTGTGCAGTATTGGAAATAGGTCAAATAGGTTAAAAGGGTTAATTTTTATCTTGTTTATTTATCATCATATTAGGGTTTTATGAAGAGAATAGAAGATAAAGGAGTCCCTGAAGACATGAAAGGAAAAGACAAGATTGTGTTTGGGAATATTCATCAAATATATGACTGGCACAAAGAGTAGGTTTTAAATTATATTTTTTTATATATGCAAATTTTGTAATTCAAAAGATTTGTAGCAGTGACTATTTTAGACTAAAATGTATTTATATGAGCCAATATGTTTTTAAACTAGTGCTTCTATAAATAGGAAAAAAACCATTTTGTTACACACATGGTCTATGTGTAGACAAGTACTATGAGTTGTTTTTTTCTGTTGTGAATGTGAGTCCTACAGTATATCCCTTTAAAATAAAACATTCCCTATAGTTTTTTCCTGGGTGAACTGGAGAAATGTCTTCAGGACCATGATCGACTCGCAGAGCTTTTCATCAAACATGTAAGTGTGAGATTTACCTGCCACTATCAAACTGCCTGACAGCAAAATAACTTGTAACATTTAAGACTTGAATTACTTAAATATTTTGCTGTTAATATGTTAAAATCTTATTTTTGTTATTAATACAGTATTTAAAGCTCTTTTAAATTGTAGTCAAGCACTTTCTGTTTATGAAGTATTATAAATGATCAAGTAATAGGTTTATTCCATGCTGAAAAAAAGAAGAAAGAGAACACAACGTTTCGGCCGTGGAGCCTTCTTCAGGTGTCTTCAGGTGTTATAAATGATTGTTCATAAGTATATTGTTTGGAAAATTGATTTCATTCAAATGTAAACTTGTTCCTTTGTAGGAGAGACGATTGCATATGTATGTGGTTTACTGCCAAAACAAGCCTAGATCTGAGTATGTGGTAGCTGAGTATGATGCATACTTTGAGGTAAGTGTTGTGCTGATGCCTATTTTGTCTTCAAGAAAGTGCTAGTGGATTTTTTTTTGTCTGAATTGCTAAGTCTTAGTGTTAATGTTATTAATGGTAATGTGTAAAATAAAAACATTTTAAATGATATTATAATGTATCTATTTTCTATTCAAATGAATACCAAAGAAAATGTTGAAATATGATGGGAAAATCAACAACTTTATCCAGCCCTGCAAAATTATGTAAATATTGTTTTAGGGCACCTGTAATTTGTATTGTTATGATACAATGGTAAGTATACCTTTTTCCTTTGCTTTGTCCCTTAGGAAGTGCAGCAGGAAATAAACCAGAGACTGACTATTAGTGACTTTCTCATAAAGCCAATCCAAAGAATAACCAAGTATCAGCTGCTTCTTAAGGTAAGATGCGGAAATTCTTGGAAAGCATTTCCTTTTTTGTTACATCAAAAGCTTCAGGGTCTTATCTCACAGCTTCCAGTACCAATTCCGAATCCCTGACAGACCCCCACAATAACAATTCCTTTTAGAAAACAAAATGAAGAAAGCTTCATACTCTACGTAGTGCTGCTGTTTTCTGCTGGATGTAAAATTATTTCCTGTATGTTGCCATCTAATGTACCAGAAGACACTTGTGCATTTCCATCGTTAAAAATGGTCACTGTCATCTATTTAAAATGTATCTCCTGAAACAAGTTGTCCTTTAATTTTTCTTTAAGGTTTTATACACATGCCCTTTCCTTAAAATATGACACATCCCTTGAACAAAAACTGGAAAGGTTTAGTTTGCACTCAGCTCACCTTTTTTTCTTTAATGTTGCAGAACCACATTCCTTTCATAAACACAATTACTGAGTCATAATATTGTCTGTTTTCTGCAGTCAATCTTTAAGTCACCGGAGTTCGTCAATTCACTAAAACAGGGATTCGCTACATAATCATTCTGTGTTCTTGTTTAGGACTATCTGAAGTACAGTGAGAAAGCTGGAATGGACTGCCAGGATATAGAGGTAAGCTGGTACATGGTGTCATTGGTACGACTGAGAACGTACAGTATGAATGTAATACATTTTCCTCACTCAAACCAGGAGTACCTGTTTTTTACCTAGTAGTCCAGTTTTTACCATTGGTAGTTATGCATTCCATATTGCTCCGGTGTTCACTCTGTGTAGCAACTCATTATTCAGTTGGCCTGTTGCTCCGTAGAAAGTTGGATATGTGTTGTCTGTTTTTGGACATTAAAAATGAAGTGACCCGATCCCTAAATGAAATGTTTTTCAGATCAATCTATGCTTTTAACTGCTCCCTAATAACACTACTGTAATATGAGAGACAATGACATTTTTATGTCCCCTCTTTGTATATCAAGGCCATATTATATTAATCTGTATACATCAGAAAAGCATTTAAAAATACAAATACATTTCTGTTGAGACATACATTACATTACTATTGATTTATTTCAGCCTAGCAAATTATGTTAATTTTGCTAAGTAGCCTTACAATTGTTTCTATTGTGTTTTTGCAGAAAGCAGTTGAATTAATGTTCCTTGTACCTAAACGTTGCAATGACATGATGAACCTTGGACGTCTACAGGGTTTTGAGGTAGGCAGCCGAAACCTCTGTATTTGTATAAAATCAAAGTACTAAAAAGTAAAAAGTACACTCCCATGTTATTTGGCACTATATACACTGTATAGATGTGAGTACCTTGAACAGTTGTTTACAGGCTTGTTTTTTAGGGGAATGTACTTATCACAGAGGGAATAAAAGCAGGGATGTGAGTTAGTTTAGGATAGCCTTGTTCAGCTGCAAAAGAGTCCCTTTTTCTGTGAAATTGAAAAAAAAACTGTTTTTTTGTGGAATGAAGAAAAATATGCTTGCTCTATACAAATCCCTGAACGCCTTTCTAAATTGAATCTTTTATTCAACTATAACTTAAAAATAGTTAAAAAGATGGACCTGGTTAGCTGGCCTAAAAGCTTTTGGATTGACTTTTATAGCAATATGATTTGAGGAGGATGTCTTCACACAGGGTTCCAGCTATATAATTTATACAATTTGGTTCCAAGAGTACTATTTCTTATTTCTTTAGGGCTACTTCCCATACAGATTTCTCATTAGGATTGTTTTGCAAGGCATGATGTTTTCTATCACATAAGAGAATTACATTAGTTTGTAAAATTAATTCTACAGCATGTTGCAGAACTGCAAGGGAACATGAAGAGGTTCCAAACTGATGAGTAGAAACAAAAACAGTTTCAGCTGTTAAGACCTCTTCAAGTATAACATGTTGTTAATGGCTGTTAAGCTTTGGATGTTAAGAATTCTTCAGGAATTCTAAAGAAATTCCACTCTGGAAAGTGGAAAGAAAAGAAAACAATGTTTTGACTGTTAGGCCCTCTTCAGGTGTGACGTCTATAGTAGGCTAAATAGCCAAATGCAGTTTATTAAAGTATTCAGCGTGGAATTAACCTTTTCTTGTTCTGTTAAGCCTTCCTTTAAGCTTAAAAAGAAAGGAGTTTTTAATGAATCTGGGGCAAAAAAGACAAAAGTCATTGGTCTCTAGAATGGAAGCAATTTTTCATACCACATGTTTGAAGACTGCACAAGAAGATTAATCAATATGTAAAAAGTCTGACCTTTCCTACAGGCAGATTTCTTGCAGCTCTCTTCCTGTTTCTCTTACTGGAATGACTCAATTTTGCAACTCATATTTTCACAGGGAAAGCTAACAGCTCAAGGAAAGCTGCTGCAACAAGACACCTTCTTTGTCACAGAACAGGACACTGGAGTCTTGTCCCGTAGCAAAGAACGGAGGGTCTTCCTCTTCGAACAGATTGTCATCTTCAGTGAGCTCCTCAGAAAGGGATCTGCAACACCCGGTTACCAGTTTAAGAAAAGTATCAAGGCAAGTTCAAGCTCACACGCTCCAAATAAAATGGTCAGACAGTTATTGCTAGCAGAAAGTTTTTAAGACTACATTGATACCCTCATTTCACAGCTAAAGTAACTGCAGCAAATAGCATTTATGAGGGAATTGTAAGACAAGGCAGTATTTTGAAATCTAGCAAATTAAGAGGTTTTCATTCCGGATGAGCCCTGAAGACTTTATCAAACCAATTTTTCAGTTACCACTTAGATTGCCTTAACTTACTATTACTTGTAGCCATAAGGATTTTAAATCCTGCGTGTGAATCATGTAGGAATGTGGCCCTGCATAACCAAACAGGATCTGCCAGTACTGCACAATGAACAAGGCAGGCAACAATGTCATTATTTAATGTAGTAGTTCAGGTGGGTAACTGCGTCAGCCTGCGAAGGCTGTAAAGGAAGAAGAAAGAAAACACAATGTTTCGGCCGTGGGGCCTTCTTCAGGTGTGAAGTTAATTAATGTGACTGAGTAAAGTGCCTTGGTATTTCATTAATACTATAATAAATATTATTATTTGATTGAACCTTGACAACAGTTTGGATGTATAAAGGTAATATCAACTGACATGTATAGGGGAACAAATGTAGCTTTTTAGTTTTCCAAGTGAAAGTTGATAGATACTGTAGCCTCTTATATTCAGTCTATTACTGTGATTTACCCAGAACTAAACATACAGCATAAGCAATCCTAGAAAGTTACAATGACCGATTATTTCAAGATTCCATATTTTCAGTGACGAAGGAAGTGTCTTCCTTTTCTTTTTTTCCGCAATGTTCTTCAGCCTTGGCAATGGCAAAGAGCCCTTAGAAACTACAGACATGTTGGCATTTTTAAATATTGGCTGATGCTGCTTTCAAGCTGTCAAAAAGTTTGGTCCCTGACCTTTTATGGACTTTTCTGAATGTTTCTGTTTTTTTCTGCCTTGTAGATGAGTTACTTGACCTTGGATGAAAATGTTGATAATGATCCATGCAAGTTCGTCCTGTACTGTCGGGGATCATCTGAAAGGTTCACACTCCAGGCTGCCAATCCAGACATTAAGCAGGCATGGGTTCAGGACATCAGCCAAGTTCTGGACACTCAGAGGGATTTCTTGAATGGTAGGAGTGGTGTCATGGGGCTACTAAATGCATAATAATCAAGATGTCTATACCTAATTATATGTTTACAAACCATAAAGTACATATGAGAACAATCAGCCTTTAGCTAGACCAGTTCAATTACTACTTTTAATGATATTTTAGAAATACTATTATAGTCATATTTATTTATTTAATGGACAAAGCAACAGTTGTTTTCCCTAGCCAAAGCTTTTAGAAATAGCACTTAGATAATACCTATAATGTAAAAATTAAAATCTGAAGACATACTACCATTCATTTTTGTGATAAAGCTTGTAGGTAATTTGGTTCAGGAAGAATTAAAACATCATAAACTAATACTAGTTTAATAAATAATTAATAAACTAATACTAATCACACCGATTTATTAATACATTTTTCCATGTATATGTCTGCACAAATAGATATTATCTTTCTTCTATTTTTATATATATATATGCATTTATTTTATACAAAGTAATATCTGTTCACTTTTCCTGCCCTTTAGTCTAATATCAGAAAGAAATGGTGCATATCTTGGCAGAACATTTGAATGCTTTATATTACTTAGATATTTGCAGAGACACTTTAATGATATTCTTGTTATTTTAAAAAACAGTTTTATGAAAGCCAAACAATATATCAAAAATGACACAATAAATTGTTACACATTAATCTGGTCAGTTTCTGCCTGCTTGATTGCCTGCATGGTTACTAAATTATTAAAAAATAAAAAGATTGAAATGCTCATGTGAGTCACACTGAGGTGAGTCAAGGCAAGGCAATGTTTTGACTTCAACCTTTTATGATCAACCTCAGCATTGCTCCTAGTATACAAAAACAGGTCCATTCACAGTAGCTGAGACTAGCTAGCTGATTGAAGTGAAAGGATTCATATCTCTTCAATGTTAAGCAAATGCCAAAATCAGCTGCCTGATATCCCCTTCTGTATTGCATGACTTAAACTGATCTGTAATGAACACTTTAATTTGAGACCAATATAGAAATGTTGTTTAGAATCAGTCACTTTTTGGGGAATGTTGAATAACCCGTTGTATTAGCAGACTGAAACAGAATAAACTTTAGAAATGAGAAGATGTGTTGTTGCCAAAGTCATAGGCTAACTAGAAATATCGTTGAGGAAAGTGATGACGAACGCTGTCTCCGTAAAGGAAAGGTTTAATCCTCAGGGTATGGTATTCACAAGTTTATATCTGAATACTGTCATTAAACATGAAACCACACCAGCAATAAGGCACATTTTGAAATCCTGCCCGCAGATTAATGACTATTAATGACTATTAATGAATATTGACTATTCTCGTGTAGAAAAAATGTTTGCTCTTGCTAGTAGGAAGATCTGTCTACCTGGTTAAGGGCATGGGCAAAGCGAATAATAATAGCTAGTATATTTTTAAGATCCTTCATGGACCATCATCTTGAAAATGAACGCACAGAAGTATTTTATGAAGTGTACAGCAAACATGGTGAAAGCTGTCAATGGCATTGCAGCAGAGCGGATGTCAGAAACTGGGTATAACCTGCAGGGGGGGTCACCCCACCTGGGCACCTGTATTCTTCACATTCTCACGAGGAAATCACTGAATTGGCTGCACCTGGAATCCTGGAATGCACCAGTTATCGAAAAAGGCAAACAGTCTTTTCAAACAGGATCCTCAGGATTATTGGGAAACGCCTACCTGGCCAACCGGAATTGCCCAAGTGGGGTAATTGCTGCTGCTACAACTAGACTTGCAAGCCCCTACCATGCTATCCAAAAAGAGATCTTTCACAACCCTGCTGGTGCATCCAGCTGTAGAATGTCAAAAGCCAACTGAGTTGCGCCATTATGTGTGGTTCTCCTTGTTTTTTTCATTCGCAGCATTGCAGTCTCCAATCGAGTACCAGAAAAAGGAAACCGGGACTCATTCTTTAACCAGGAATCAGTCTGGCATTAGGATTCCACAGTCGAACAGCCGTCCTCATTCCTCAGCTTCGGTGGGGCCGGAGAAGCCGCCGATGTCTGGCAGAAACCCGACAGCACTACCCTTGAAGTTATCTACCTCTAATGGCAGTCCATGCTATGATCAACACAGACATGCAGAGAGATATGATCCAAGCAAGGTTAGTCAGAGGAAAATTTCTTTAAGAAAAACATTCTTTACAGTTCTTCTTTAATAAGAAGACAATCCTTTAAGAATCCTTTAGATCCTTTAGAATCTTTAAGAGACAAAAATTGGATAGGACACAATCCTTAGCAGCCATAGTTCATCTGTAAATGTATGTGAGATCAAAGATAGTTGTGGTTGTAGTATGTCAATAAAGTGGAACCACATTTTAAAGCGATTTGCAAGCTGTTTTAGCCTTGGCCTATTTTTGCTGCATGCCAACATGAAACTTAACGCATTTCTTTTTTTGTGCTAGTGTCATAGACTTAAATTAATGATCCAGTCATCTCTGTAAAGTCCAGCCTAGTGTGTTATCATAAATCAAATTGTCGTATTGGGTGTAGCTCTATAAGGGTTTAATAGCCTAGTTTCTGTCTTATTTTTAACTGTCTTAAAGATTAGTGTTTTGGACTTGCTTTTCTTCTCAGTGGAGGTACAATTTTTGTATGAACGTTGCAGTGTAGGTAGCATTTAAGTTTGATAATGGTGTTGGTGTTTTGCAGAGGGAAAGATGAGGCCAGATCATTTCCTTGCCTCTAGTTTAACTACAGTGCATAAGGTTCCTGTAGATTTCCATATTAAAACACAACAACTCACTTCATTGAACAATATTTGCCTCTTTGAAGCAAAAAAAATCAGACGTGTCTAGAGATACTGTATATTCGAGTAACTGTTTCTTGCTTGTTTGTTTTGTATGTGTTTTCTTGTTTTACCAGAATGATGTTGCTGGATGTAATGGGATGTCATCCACTATGATGGTGACCCAAGATTACAGTGCACTGAAAGAGAATGAGATATGTGTGATTCAGGGAGAGATGGTACAAGTCCTGGCAACTAACCAGCAAAACATGTACCTGGTCTATCGACCTGCGAACAATCACTCCCCAGCTGCTGAAGGCTGGGTTCCAGGAAATATACTGGGCCCTGTGAATAAAGCCTTCATAGAAAGTGCTGAAGGAAGTATCAAGTAAGTGCCACTTGGAGTTGGAGCACTGTATGGATTGTAGAGGAAATGAGAGAGATGAAGGGCTCCCCTGCTGGTTCTACCCAGATACCCATTGGAACAAACTCTTTAAGTGCTGGATCTTAAGCAGGGGAAGTCTCAGCTGACATCTCTTTTTTGTTGTTAATATATGTAAAATAAATATAAAGGACTTCAGGACAGTCGTGGCCTGTTTCATGTTTAGAAAAATATATCAACGTGGAACTGACTGGACTGGACATTAATTTCTGTTTAATTTCTAACCCTTTTTTTTTTGTTTCTTTAAACATTTGGCAAAAAAGGCCTCATGTTGGACTGAGGCCTGCTTCTCCAAAAGGAGAGATTTTATGTTATTGTCTATGGCAATTTGTTTGTACAGCTTGTATTTTTCTTTGTTTTATTTTTTTTTCTTTGTCGTTTTCAAATATGTTGACGGTTTACTGTAAAAATGTTTTGTTTGTTTGCCAGTACTCTTTCCAGTACATTCTTGTATAAAGTCTTTTGCACTATTTAAGAAAACCATATTAATGAAGTCAGGTTGTGCAATATAATGATAGTCACAATGTTCATCATTGTACTTGTAATGTAACTAATAATTTTAAATGTATTATTTTAAATATGTAAAATAAATTTTCAACATGAGCATGATTTAATATGGCAAAATAAGTTGAACTTGTTTTGCTTGTAAAAAAAAGAACATCTAACATGATGTTTAACAGTGGTGAGTAATATTTCACCTAGACAGTTTCCAAACCACCTGCTGGATCTTTTAACAGTAGAAACTTAGCAAAAATATTTAAAGAAACAGGATCACTCATTATTTCTATTTGAATATGTAATACTGTCATCAAAACAGTTCCAGCCATTCTCGAGTAATGTTGATTTTAATTTGTAAATCTATAGATGTTTAAAAATAATACAATTTCTTATTTGTATCTGCAATAGTTTGCTTTTTAGAATTATTGTTGCAGATTAAGTATTTTCCCCTTGAATTAAGTTAAAAATATATATTGCATCATTATTGTGGCTGACCGTTAATATTCTTCTTTAATGATGAACCATTTTCTGAATTGTGGACTACATTAAAGTTGATCATTTTTCTCATTGAACAGTGATGGTGTATGTTACTTTTCATATACATACATAATAAGGGTGAATAAAAACAGATTTTTTTAGATTTGTTTCAGTTCTGCTCTGTACCAATTTTATTATCTTTTTTTTCCTTTTTTGGTAACACATAATACAGTATATGTTGCAAAATAGATAGCATTTTATTGCTCTTATTTTGCAATAAATCAAACTTCCCAAGACAACATATTTGTATAATAAGCAATCTCGACAACAGGAATGATGCTAAACGAGCTGACAAATATATCCACATTTTGGACTTCCAGTCTGGATTTTGAGGTGCAATTGATGGATTTGAAAACTTTATTTTTATTTACAAGTGTTTTTAAGTGTCACAGCATCTCTCCCTCTGCAATTTTTGATCCTTGTATCAATTCTTCATTTTTTGTTTATTTTCCATGGGATTTTTCCTTTCCAGAAGATGTAACTTTTTTTTTTCTCCAAATAAAATGGATGGCCCTCCCATTTTTGTCCCCTCTCCCCTCTCGCTGTTTCTCCTCATTTGACTGGTGCATTTTTTGGTACAACAGGAAGTCTCTTTCTTGGCACACCCTGCGCATGAGAAAGCGAGCAGAAAAGGAGAGCAGTGGCAAAGGTGAAGCAAAGGTTGAGAATGGACTTCGTAAGCCCAAGGAAATTCTGAGCAACAAGGTCACTGTTAAAGTGAGTAAGCAGGCACTGAGGACCTGTCTGCCACCTGCCTCCCCACTTGTCTTAAAACAAAACAATGAACACCTTGACCAAGTTTTTGTGTTTGCTTTTTTGCATGCTACTGACAATTTCTATAATTTATCTTATGGCTGCAGGCTTGACATAATATAGTGGCAGAGAAAACAATATTGTGGCTTTTTTTTTGTTTGCAAAAGCTCTGCAAACAAGATTTTGGGCTTCAAAATCAAATGGGTTTCAATGTTATCAAATTATGAGAGGTAATTTTTTTTAGGTAAGAAAAAAGTCTGACTGATTTTTCTGGAATAACAGAGATGCACCTTGTTTTTTTTTACGTTTGCATATCACGGGCTTGTTTTTATGTTCAGCCGCATGTTTTCGAATTCACTTTGGTTTGTTCAAACTGTGGATGCCATTCAAAAGACTGACATGGTTATGACCTGGAGTGACTCTTAACAGTTTTAGCCCTGGTTCCTCAACCATTAACCTTCTAAGCAAGCAAATCCACCTGTTAATGTCATTGCAAGTAAACACTACACAACAAAATACTAATTTCCATAAACTTTCTACAAAATAGTTATGAATTTTTATTTTCTGGTTTAAAAACAGTATTATTTTGTTCTTTGTCTGCTTTATTTCATTATTTAAGTTGGTATTTGCAAATAATTTCACCATGGTCATATAAGGTAATTCCAATTCTATTGTCTAGGTTTTATTGTAACTTATAAAAGGAGTTTATGGAGTGGATTATCTCTGCAGAATACTGTAGGTACAGTATGTCTTGAAAGGTGCTACTGTATATCCACTAAGTGATGTGACATTGTAATGTGGCTACTACGGTTACCACAATAACCACAAAGCTAACAATAACATTCCCCCTTAATGAAAACAAAGGATATCACTCCTTAGAAAATGTTTAGGGACTTAATGGATTCCCCTGTATTTTCATCTGCAGCTCTGTTGTCATGCACTCATTTTAATTTGTGTGCTCAGTCCTCACGGTTTTCAGTGAACATCAGTTAAGGACTTCCCTTTCAGAAACACATTTTCAAAAACACCACACTTACCCCTCATAAAAAAAAATAGAGCAAGCTAAAAAAAAGTACAGAAGTATATTCTAAACTGTTGTTTGAATGCTTTAAAAGTAAGAGGCATTAAAAATGTAAGAAGTCCCATTATTGATCTGTTGCAATTTAAATGCCTATTATAAAGTGAAACAATTGTATTTCTTTATAAAAAGTGGACAACAGCACCAAAACATCTAAAGTTAAAGTTGATCCTCGTTAGCTATTGTGCTTCTTGTGGTTTCAAGCAGGAATTTTGGGTCTGTATGTAACAACCCACTGTGTTAAGGATCCCTGTCTGAGGTCTCACAGTTTGAAAACCACTGGACTGCTGTAACCTGTGTCTAATTTTGCTTTCTCTCATTCCGCACTGCAGGAGTCTAACAGTTCTGAAGAGTCAGATTGTGATGAGCTAGATCCCCAAACTAGCATGGAGGTAGTAATATATATCATCTCATAATGCATGCAGCCCCCCACAAAAACTCTTATATATCCCTCTGTAGATTACAAAGAGCCCCACTGTGAAGAGGCCCTGTCTGCAAACCACCTCTAGCCCTTAGGTCTGTGTTGATGTTTCTTTCCTTGTTCTGCATTTGTCTGGAAAAGACACAAGCAGAAAACCTATGGTTTGAGTGTCTGCAGGTGGCTGCTCAAATGCCAGCTGACAAGAAGTTCCTCAGGTCATTGTTCCATTGAAAATTAGTGGTGCTGCTTATGCATGCGATCCAACTGTGCAATGGCACAGAGTGTCCTTTCCGAGACCTCACTTTCCTTATAAATCTTTACTTGTGTTTCTTTCAAATTATTTTTAAAGATGCTCACCAGGTCTGATTTTTTTTATAAGATCTGGGCTTCTCACCAAACCAACAAATGTAATCTGTACTAAATAGCTGTATGTATTGCTTCCTGATGAGTGATGATTGTACAGTATGTGTGATCAAGGTTTGAAAAATATCATCTATCTGTCATTACATCACTAGAATTGAATTGGTATGAGTCGGTCCTCATTTATTGAATAGGATTTTCTGAAAGATTTTAAATGTTAACCGGAATGTTTAAATCCTTTGAGATTTTTTTTTTACTTGCTTACAAATTGTCTTTCACTTTGAATACATGAATCTGGGTTTGCGCTATGAGCATAAAAGCCATAGGCAAAATAAATCAAGCAGAAATCAGGTCCTTTCGGGACTTCCTATTCTAGTTTTATGTGAGCACACATAAACCTTAAATAACGTGTAAGTTACACTATTTCTCACGTATTATCTGGAAATGTCACTTTTCACTGGAATCAAAAGAAAATATCTACTTTATGTTGCACTGGAATCTGCCTTTTTTCTGTTCAAGCCCACCTTTTCATTTAAACAAAAAGAAATAAATACAATCGAGTGGGAAATATGATACACAGTATTTCAATCACTGAACCTTGTATAAAATCCTCTTTTTTCTGAACACAGAGCATAGACTAGAGGTCACCTTTGATGACATTGTGGTGTTCATCCTAATTCACACTGTGCTTATTATATCAGGATGCTAATTAGATTACACAGAGCCAAGTATTCTCTATCTGTGTTTATTCACTGTTTGAAATCCAGATTTGCAAACAGCATGGTGGTGGGAATATTAAAAGTGGCCTGAAGGATATCACCCATGCTGTTACGTTTTAGTTATGAACAAACACTACAGATCCAGCCCTTGTTCTATCCTGCTGTTACCGATATTTTTTTTTATTAATTTGTCAAATGGAAGTTCTCATCCAGTGCAGTCCTACACTACACCTTTAGTTGTTTTTAATGACGTAAGGCTCATTTTGCTGATTGATTTAAATAACTTTTCAGAAGATTATTTAAAGCTGAAGTTTATGGAGAATTGATAACCTGCTCCAGTTTTTTTCAACTTAACTGTATCACTTTAACCTTACTCTTAAGTGAAGACCTGTTAGTACCTAATCCTTTTTCCAAGCCCTAAGTACTAAAACTGGGAACCTCTGGTTTAGTAAATGCATAATTATAGACGGAGGTCTTGAGCGAGCGTATACCCTGCTGAGGCCATTTGTTTAGCTCAATAAACAATGACTTTGGTAAAAAAAAAAAGAAAAGAAATCCGGTACACCAGGATAACAATTCTGCATATATTGTGCTATATTTCTGCTGGATATATTTATATCAACAGTTAAGAACTGTATTGTGTACATTAACTGTAACAATAATTAAACGAAAAATTGGTTTTTCACCCATTCTTGTAGTGCAAATAGATTGAAGAACAATAATCAAGGTCGGATTGTGCAATGCAGCGTCTTTTTTTTCCACAGTACAGGGTCTTCATTTGTTCCAGTGCAAAGTGCAAACACACTTCTAAAGGTTAATGTTTTATAGTATGTGACCTCAACCTTCACTGTACTTCAAATACATTATAGTGGAGCTTTATGTTGAATATGGAACATTGCTGCTACCTAGTGTTCACATGTGCAGAGATACTGTACATAGAAAATACACTTAAAATGCAGTCTTATTTAAAAGAAGGATTCTTTTACAGAAGGTAAGAAAAATTATTTCATAGACTAGTATAAATGAAACAAAGTTTAAAGCCCTGCAGTGTTTTTTAAATAGAATGCCTTCAAAAATCCTTTTATTTTTATTTTGTATATTCTCTTTACTTGTCTATTAATATCTGCTTTACCTTCGTTAATCTGCAAGTATCTAAACCATTTCTTATTGAGAGCAAAAGGTTTTTGAAAACTATAAATAAGGACTGTTTATGAAATTTAAATGTACAATATATACATACAGTACTAACTGGGTACGAAAGGCTCAATTATTTTCTCTGTCCATTAAATGTCCTTTATTCTGACAATGTTCAATTAAATGTGCTGGATTCCCTTAAGCAGAGTCTCGGGAATTAAACTGAAGATGGTTTAATATGAATATGGCTGGAGCTATATTTGAGGTATATACTGTATACTCAAATCGAATATATTAATATTTTAATATTCACATGGCATCTTTTATCCACATATTTTAATATACCAGGAAAATATGCTGTTTTGAATGCAGAATTGTTCTAAACTGATCAGTTAACTATCATAAATTTGTTTTTCAGTTACTGAATCCCAATTTCATTCAGGAAGGTAAGATAAATGCAAACTGTGGTATTTATTGCAGGAAAGACAATATACCTTTTACTGAGACTAATATATCATCTATGTAATAATGGAGATGATATTTTTAATGGTAAATGTTTCCGTTACATGTCAAGGATTTGTGAATTACTGGTATACCTAAAATCGTCTATAAAACAGAAACTATCTGCCACATATGTAATCAAGTAGCCATGTAATTCAATTGTGATAATTTACCTATCTGGAATCTCTGTTCAAAGACCTTTGTGACCTAATTGTATTAAAACAATTTCATTCACAGTTGCACCAGAATTCCTTATCCCTCTTGCTGATGTGACTTGTGCGTTTGGGGAAACTGTAGTCTTGTGTTGTAAAGTCTGTGGACGTCCAAAACCAAATATCACTTTGAAAGGACCGGATCAAAATTTGGTTGTCAACAACAGTCGCTTCACAATTGACATCAGGTATACTCTCTGAGTAATTGAAAAATCCTCACACTATGAATGTAGCTGGATTCTAAAGCATACAATTGTTTTGTGTTATAAACTGTTTATTACACACCCCTTTTCCACTTAAACTGAAAGTTGTTTAAGTGTTGTAATTAACCTTACAATATGTGTACTTGGGGCCTTATTCAGCCTTGAGCAAACCTACCTATTAGCATTCATACAAGATGTGTATATCCATCCATGTTATGTATCTGTGTCGTTAAGATTAAGAGCCTATTTACTTTCTTTAAGCTTACTTTACCTGGCCGCTGTTCAAAGTGGAAATCCTAGTTTTGATGTAACCTAGTCTTTGGATGTTAAATAATGAAAAAGGAAGAAAAAGTCATATAAAGCTTTCTTTTAAAAACTAATAATTTATAGTGTGCCAATGTAGTGTTCTTATTTCTGTCAAGCTCAGATTGTTTGCAAGAAAGACTTTATAATGATGAAACTATTCACAGGGGCACATAATTGGCTGAAAGAAAAAAAAATGGGTTATAAATAGTTTTGAAATAGTTTATAATTCTTGATTGGACCCTGAGCTTGTTATCGACCCTGAACAAGCCAACCCAATTTTTGCAACACTTCACTGAACTTTGTTGCGTCTAGGACAGAGGTCCTACATGAAATGGTCTCTGATACCCAATAAAATTATATTCTGGAATAAAGGGGCTGTCTGAGGTACAGTCATTTATTTCCACAGAGTAACTAGAATCAGAGAGAGTTTGTGAAGAAAGCCACAAAAGTAAATTTGAGGAAATGCTTAAACACAAAGATGGAAAAGCAATTAAGTATATGAAGCACGTTCAGCAGTGCACATCTGGAGATAAATTTGATTAAGATAAAATCTCAGTATATTTTTAATGTGCCTAAGCGTTAAAAATCTTCTCTGATTTTTTGTTCTTTGGGTAAATAACAATAATTGTTCCATCTGAAATCTGGTATTTAAAGACTTGGTAAATCCAAGACATACTGTATGAAATGGTCAAAACCTCATTATTCCAAATGCATGTAGATGTGAAATATCACACATTGCACAATGTGTAGGACATGCAGTACATAGATAAAGTGAAGAGGCTGCACTAAAAACAGTGGCTTAAATATCTTAAATATATATCTATGTTTTCTGTTGATAAAAACAATTAATTGCTTACTAATATTGGCATAAATCATGCCTCCATTAGGGGCTGCTGTATTGGCAGTGTTAAGAAGTTTAATTTTAAGGGCCAATGAGAGAATGCAATGACTGTTCAATTACCAGTTGTTTTTTTTTAAAACTTATGCACAGTGTATTTGATATTTTAGAAAATTTATTTTTTGAGTGGTTAATTTAATTTAATTTAATTGGTCAAGAACAGTGACACCAAACATGACCGTAAGTACAAGTATACACAGCTGTAAAATAATGTGATCTTTATTTTACAATAAGGGAAAAATCAACAGCCACAACAAAAACCAAAAACAAAATGTAAGCTCCACGTGAGCTACTGACTAACCTTCTTCACAATGTCCTGATCTATCATAGCCTGGCAGATAAGATGCCTACTGGTTTCAAAAGCACTAAGTCCAGACTCGTCACAAAGTTTGGTTCCAGTCTCACCCTGAGATTTCACAACATTCTTCCAGACTAGTGTAATTCCCTCTCTCTGAGGTGTTTCACAAAATAAACACTTCCAAACTTCTCAGAAACTTCCTTCCTTTCCCTTGGTCAGTCACTTCTTTCTCCCATCCACTGATGAGTATGCACTGCAGAGGTCCTATGGTTCCATATACCAGACTGCCCAACACAGAAAGCCTTGGCTTCCTGCTTTTTAATTTGTCCCTTGACCAATTGTCTTAAAGCAAATGGTCAGGTGACTGGGACAAGCCTCTCATTCCCCTACAGGTTTCTGGGTAATGTTATCCAGACAAGGCTGCTCTCTCACACATGCTAAAAGAACAGAATTGTTTTAATCCTAAACAGAGAAGACTATGAAGGAAGCTTGTTTACAGTATTCAGAATTCTCAAGAGAATTAACAAGTTTCAGTTCTGGAATTCTTTAGTAGGTTCTTTCACAGCCTGTTCAATAAACATTTTCAAGAAAACCAGTTTCAAAAACCCACATGAATCCTAATAAGCTCTGGTGTTGCCAATTTGCATAGGAATAAACAAAGAATAGTTTGATATTTAAGAGAAGGTGCCAGAAACCTTTCAGAAATTTAACAGAGAAAATGGGTGGTTTGAAAAGGTGGACATCAATTCACCTGTGGATTTGGAAATGTAGTCCCTTGTGAAACAGGCTTTTAACGCATGAATGCTCACGCCATCAAAGAAATGATACATTCTCAAAACCCCACAGGCTTCTGAAATAGTCAGGAATCCTAAGAAGATTCTTTCAAATATACAGCAACATCTGGGGACCATACCTCTTGAATCCAACTGCCACAAGAGCTGCCTTTGAAGCTATTCATTACTGTGAAATAACAGTACCACTGCACAGAACAGAAACCTGATTCTCCCCTTAAGCTTCTGAACCAAGAGTGCACAGCACACAGTTTCACAACCACTGTAGTAAATGGATATATAAAAGGTGTATATGTATAGCTAGTATATTCACATACTGTACACATTTAAGTGGTGTATCAACCAGCATTGTATTATGTCATCCAAATATGTCATGAAAGGTCAGATATTTAGATTTTACACCTTTTAAATAAATGTTGATGTTGTTTTTGTTGAGCAACTTGATAAGGAACTAGAATTGCTCTTTACTTTTTACTTTTTTCTTTCCTCCGCCCAGGGAGACTGGGGATATACTCTTGAAGATTTGTAACCTCATGCCACAGGACACGGGCATTTACACCTGTGTGGCAGTGAATGACCATGGAACGTCGTCCTCTTCTGCTTCAATCAAAGTTCAAGGTTGGGATGGGAATATTGGGGATATCTGGGGATTGCTTATTGTGTGTTGTGTGACATTTTTAGAACTTTTAACAGCTTTGATAAATAAATAGTTCTTTCACTTAAGTACACTTTTCTGAACACTCCACTCAAAGTGCTTTACAGGTAATGGGGACTCTCCACTAATGTGTAGTCCCACTTTGATGATGCAATAGCAGTCAAAGTGTGCCAGTACACTCACTACACATCAGCTATCAGCGGGAAGGAGAACAGAGAAGTCAATTCATAGATGGGGATTATTAGGAGGCCATGATTGGTAAAGGCCAGGGTTAAATGTTGCTAAATTACTGCGGATGAGCACCCCTACTAGCCCCACTAACACCACTTCCAGCAGCAACCCCAACCACCTTAACTTTCCCAGTAAGTCTCCCATCCAGGTACTGGCCAGTCTCCCACCTGCTTAGCTTCAATGGGTTGCTAGTTCTGAGTTGTGAGTTGCAGGGTGATATGGTTGCTCACTTATAATATAAATTATTGAAGAATTAATACTGTTAATAAATGGATGAGCAAAATAAATCTTATCAAGGATACGGTGTTTTGTCACCTTTGCCTGCAAAAGCTGATTACAACTACTACAATAAAATATTGTGTACCACTTTAAAAAGATATGTCCAATGCATTCTTTTTAAACCCACATTCATAATTTGAAAATTATCTGAATTGATATATATTCAATAAAATGGCACATTTATGATTTTTCCAATACAGTGTTTGGTGTTATCGAACGCAGCGGCTCATTAAAATGCCCTTGCTTCACTTAACAGCTTGCAGGTTGTGTCTTATAAATCAAAGTTTGATTCCAGTTTGGTTTGTTTAACCTAACCCTCTCCATGACTGTAGGTATTGCAGCTGCCCCCAGCCGACCAGTAGCCCAGGAAGCCAGCAATACTGCTGTAATCCTGCATTGGCTGCCTCCAGCTAGCTCAGGGAACTGTGCTATTTCCAGCTACGCAGTGGAATACAGACAGGAAGGTAACAGCAACTGTTTCACCAGGTCACTCATTAGTGACTTTAAGAGATTGTGGGGGAAGAGTAATTTGAAATTATCTGAGCAGTAGGATGGGAATGAACATGCATACAGAGCAAGCAAGTGCGTGAAGTGCTAAAATTATTCCTGAGGTTACAAAAAAAAAGAATCAGAACTCTTTATATCTAATTTTAGTAATTTCTGAAGACTGTTGGATTCACAATAAAAAAATTTAATTTGTTTTTTAAGCCTTTTGGTCAGAGTTCCAGATAAAGTAGGAGATTCAGCCTTTAAAAAAAGCTGCACCTTACTGTACTACACTATAGCGACCGATAATGTCACATTATGTAAGGCATTGAAATACCATTTCCTGCAGAATCTGAATCATTTTACAAATAATTGTAATCCTCTCTTTAAGAAATTAACTTAGAAGGTTTCTAATACAACATACTATTCAGGACCTGTGACATAACTTGAAAATTGACTTACTGTAGATTTCTCTTATTTCCATATTGTTCCAGTAAGAAAGGAAATGCAAACAAAGCATAAAAAACACATCATGGGGAAAATACTTAAGCCTTATAGAACAGATACACTTTCTGTTTTCAAAACCTAGAAGCTCTTTTATTAACTGTAGTAGGAATATTAAAAAATGTAAGCTTTTGTCTTCTGTGTCAGTGTACTTCTAAACTTTTAATTCATCTTTAAATGAATAAAGTGTTATAACTTTAAGAAGAGAAACACGGGGTCTTAGAGATAATCATTTTCATGATTCTAGGAGGATATCATATGATATGTTTCTGTTTATAATCTTTCATCTAGATTCACTTATTTGGCAACAGTCTGTTGCGTCAGCTGTGGACACCTGCATTGAGATAGAAGACCTCATCCCAGGTGGCCACTATCAATTCAGAGTCAGTGCCATTAATCCATGGGGAGTCAGTCCTCCTAGTGAACCATCAAATATGGTGACACTGCCCTGTGCAGGTAAGTATGACTGTGCAGTTGTAAATATCAGCTCCATGTTTTATAGATGTGAAACAAACCGGCAGCTTTTTTGGACATTCAAATCTAAATTATTGTATTTCTGAAATATAATTGTCTAGCATCTCTGACATAAATTTAATAGAAATCAGTGTTTGTCAGCATAGGGGGAAAAGTCCTGCTCGCTTGAAAGAGCTATCTCTTGCAGGTGTTTTACAGCATTGGTGAAAAGTAAAAAAAGCAGCAGCACCTGATACCTAAAAATAAAATCCCTGACTGTGCAAGTTCCTACACTGTTACCGCTAATGAAGACGTTTTTCAACAAAAAATATAATTTAATTCTCTCATTTTTTATTACCCTTGCAAGATTCATCATATGATGGGACAGACATCCACTGGAAAGATAACTTTGAATCAGCATATACTGAACTGAGTGAAATTGGAAGGTAATGTGCTATTGTCCGTTTGATGATATTAGTAATTACTGGCATTATTTCCTGATGAATGCTTTAACGTTGGGACTATAAATGCAGAAACATAATCTATAAATGTGATATGTAAAATCCTGTAACTAACCTGAGCTTGAAGAAGGCATTTGTGAAAAATAACCAGGGGTTCATGCTGGCACATAATTTTTCATCTTCTTTACAAAGTGGGAATGTATTAAAACCGAATGCTAGTTTAAAAGAATAACATAGAGAGACCACATATATTCCTGAGACTTGAAGGAGTGTTTGACTTTAAATGCCTCTTTTAAGTCTTGAACTGGCACTAAGAAGGGACCTTTGATTAAAGTATTCAGAATCCTCAAAGGCATTGACAACCAGTTTCTTTAGAACCAACAGTAAAACACGAACCAATGGACACACATGGAAACTACTGTACAATGGAGAGCACTAACCAAGACCCTGTTGTTAACTCTGACACCTTAACTTCATTCAGGAAACAGCTGAGCGAGATCTTCAACTCACTTAGCAGCTAACAAACGAACTAAATGGCCCAAAAGGCCTCCTCTCATTTATAATCTTTTTATTTGCTTATGTGTACGTTAACTGATTAATTAATTGTGCTGTCTACTCTGTGCAGGCCAGACTGAAATAATTCAAGACATTAAAAAAATAAACTTACCATAGTTTTGGTTCCATGTCCTCTGATACTACGCTGCTTTCCAGAAACGTTTACTTTCCATGCTTGAAAACACAGCTTGTATTTGATTACTGCATGGAACCCCATTACAGTGTCTTTAATGATTTTCTTTCATTTATTTTTTATTAAAATAACATATATATAACATTAATTATAATATTGTAATGGGTGATAACAAGAAATGATACTAATGTATTAAGTATTAATCAATCAGCCAAAACCAAGTCTTCTAAAGGTATTCATTGAAATGGCCAATAAAGGCTCATGATTCGGGTCTCCAAGAATGAAATGACTTGTGCAAAAATGTTGTTTTCTACAAATATGGCATAATACAAATGTCTAAAAATATGAAATTATCAAATAAAACTTTCTAGTCCCTTTGCACAATGAGTTATAGTGTCTCACGTTCTGACATGGAATATATAGTAAGTTGACTTGTACAGCCCTCCTCGTGCATTAATAAAAGTCTTCTGTTTTTCTTTTACGTGTCCATGTGATTTCAGGGGCCGGTTCTCAGTCGTGAAGAAGTGTGTGCACAAAGCTACTAAAAGGGAAGTAGCTGTTAAATTTGTCAGCAAGAAAATGAAGAAGAAGGACCAAGTGGCGCATGAGGCAGATATTTTGAGGCATCTACAGCACCCACAGCTCCTCACCTTGTGCGACACCTATGAATCCGTTGGCAGTTTCATGTTGGTGTTACAGCTGTACGTGTCAGATCCCACTACTTTCCCTATTCCCTGTCCTTTCCCTATTCATGGCAGTAAGGCTTTCTCGTTTGCAAAACAAAACTGTTTTGCAAAACTGTTTTTTAAAACTAAACTGTTTTTGTTTTATTACTTTAAATTTGACAAAATAGCTTTAGTTATTTGCTTTTCTGCAGTACAGGATTCAATTCATGTTATCTGTGGCACAGGATTTCTGCAAATCCTAAATTGAAAAAAACAGCATTATCAAAAGCAGTCATCTATAATAACTTATGGAGTTTGTATGCTACATTTATAACCGTGTTTCACTGAGAAAAGGCATATTTGTGGTCTGTTGACCTAGTCTGACTTTTCTTTTTTTTTTTCAGCTTGGCTGATGGGAGACTTTTAGACTATCTTGTTTCCCATGATGAACTAATGGAAGAGAAAGTGGCTTTTTATGTCAGAGATACTTTGGAAGCTGTGCAATATCTCCATAGTTGCAGAGTTGCACACTTAGATTTAAAGGTAAGTTCAAGGAGAAATATTTGCTAAAATTGCATCCAATATAATGTACCAATGTTAATACTTAATCATAATTCCTTCTCCTGATAAGTGAACTACTAATTCCCACAAAAGCATTAACAACAAAGCTAATAATACCTAAAAGTTTTATAAACAGTCCATCCATTTAAAAGCACATTAAATCAATTCAATAATGTATGTATTGCTTTCTGTCAACAGCCGGAAAACCTTTTAGTTGATCTCCACATTCCAGTTCCTCGTGTCAACATCATAGATTTTGGTGAAGCCATTCAGATTACAAACCACTGTTATGTCCACCAGCTTCTGGGAAACCCAGAGTTTGCAGCTCCAGAACTGATCCAGGGGACTCCTGTAGCTCTTAGCACAGATATCTGGAATATTGGAGTTCTGGCGTATGTTATGCTAAGTGGCGTCTCCCCGTTTTTGGATGAGAGCTTGGAGGAGACTTGCATGAATATCTGCAGACTTGATTTCAGCTTTCCTGATGAGTTTTTCTGCGGAGTCAGTCAGGCTGCTCGAGACTTCATTTCATCGCTCCTTCAGGGAGACCACAGGAAAAGACCCACTGCTGCCACCTGTCTGCAGCATCCCTGGTTACACTCCCACAGCAGTGAATACTCCAAAACCCCACTGGACACTTCACGCCTGGCCTCCTTCGTTGAGAGACGCAAGCAGCAGAATGACGTTCGGCCTCTCACTAATGTCAAGAGCCTCGTGTCAAGCAGCATGGGTCGCACCTTATAAAAATGGTCAAAATGTGTATAGCGTATGTATTATAGCCTGAAAGGACATTTGTATCAAACAATTAATATTTGATACTTCATAAATGAAGTAAAAAAAACATGCCTTCTTTCTGTAAAGATAAACAGTTGTAATCTAAAATGGTTTAAATTTCTAATTGTGTTTCTTAACTTAAAGGTGCATTAAGGACCTTTACAACCTAACTAGTAAAATAACCAAGGAACAGTAATTGGAACACTCAGATCTATGTCAGACATTATCACAAATTCACAATGTTTGATATTACATTTTTTAGAGGTTTATTATACTATAATTTAAGTGTTTTTATATGGTAATCTATTCTTTTATCTATACATATTGTATTATAAGTTCACATTAGTGTTCTAAAATCTTCACGAGAGGTGAGAAAGAACCTTTCGAGACATTTTAAAAAGTCCTTGAAAGTAAAATTACTTAAGAATGTAAATTAAAATAGAATGTGCTCAAGTAGGGCTAAGGTCTGCAAGATGGGTTTTAGGTAAAACAGAGCTGCTCTTACAGAAGTTGTATTAGTATAAATTAAAGCTGTATGATAAGTGTTTGCAATATGTGTTTTTTATCCTGTAATCTAGCGATCCTTTGGAACCGTAGAGTTTTCAAGAGGATCTGCAAAAAAGTCATAGGGAGGATTTCAGCAGATGAGTAAAATCAACAGCTCTGAAACGCCACTAAGATTGTCGAGAAATGCCTTTTTTTCCATGTCACATTTTTTCTGTGATAGGGCTCTTTGATGCCTTTAAACAGTTTCACCATTCAGGAAATTAAAAAAGAAAACAGGGTTAATAAAAAAGCCACATTTGCATACCCTAAAAATCCCATAAAGCATTGCTCGACATATAATCGTGGTCACAATGTGATAAAAGGGTAATAAAACTAAAAACTCCAAACAATAGAAACCTCCAAACAAAAGAAACATGTTTTTAAAAGGTCCCTTCACCTTGAAATATACACTCAGAACCATTTAATACCTCACTTTATGTGGAAACATGGTGAGCAATGAGCCTTAACACAATATTTATTTTAAATAAAAGCAACATATTATCATAAAAGTTCTGAGTTCTAATTCTAATTTTTACTTTTCGTTTCATTGTAAATTAATTGCATATTATTTGCTTTTTAAAACAGTCTTATGTATTCTGTGAGGAAAATTTTTATTAACCTACATATTGTTTTGGTTTTGAACACTTACTGTAAGTAGTTTCTCTTTTCTTGAGCTTTTGTATTATAGAAAACGATGTGAAGAGTCATAATATAACGGTGCGTCACACAAAGGTCATTATTCTGTGAGACAAAGAAATCAAAGCTTTAATAGTGATTTAAAATTGATTTAATATTGCCTTCACTATGAGGGGGTGGGAGGAGAGGGGCAAAAGGTGATGGTTTGCACTGCTGCTTTACAGTTCCGAGGTCCTGGGTTCGATTTCAGCTTTTGGCTTAGAGCACTGTCTGTGTGGAGTTTGTGATCGGCTACTCTGAATTGTCACTAGAAATACAACCACATGAGTCCAGTGGATGAATGGCCACAATAAGAGGAGGCCCTTCTGTGTATGACATTACAACCTTGGAAAGTTCCCTCATGCTAGCCATTGTTTTAGCATATAACGTTTTATTAATCGAGGGAGCATTCTACATTCTTAATATTTCTTAATCATATCATTAACAATGATGGGTGGGTGATCAGTCGCGTATACAAAATATTCAGGATTGACATTTTATTCCAGGAAAAAATGTTCTTAAGATAAATATGTATTGTATAAGGTGTATGTCTTTCAGGCAAATGTAGGAAATTGGCTATTTTTAATCTTAATTAAGGATATTATTTCCAAACCTTTAAAATTTAGAAATCAAACGCCAGTGTATTCAGTTCAACTGCAGGTATTCATCATAGCAATTACTGTAGTTACTTAATTACTAATAGTAATTCGTATTAAAGAGAAGTTCTTTGCAATTCTTTAGTCACTAGAGGTGACTAATGTCAGAACAATATGCTACCAAAGTGCGTGATGCTATATTATGTTTTTTTCCTTTGGTTTTTAAATATTAAATCTTTAATTTCTGTAATTCTGCTCGGACCCCGGTCTTGGCTAGAGCTATGTCCTATTCAGTGAGTTTCCCTGCTGACTTGTATATGTAGTGTTGTACGAAATACCATGCACTCTTGTGCAACAACCTAAAAGTAGATAGTGAAATTCAGAAAAAAATGCACGACAACAAGAGGACGAGCTATGTGTTTTTAATGTTTCACTTCAAGCTGTTGATTTTTGTTTAATTCTAAAAACAATTCTTCAGTGTAGTTTTAGCATGCCTCTTATTTTTTACTTTTTTTCAATGCCAATCATTCCATCAAATTAATCATTAACTCTCTGAATTAAAAACGGAGATTCCTATGTGTCTTACGAGGTTGTGATTGGGATTTAAGATTAAATCCATAAACATGCACAACAAGGGATTGCTAGGCCAAACCAAACTTAAGGCCTTTCTTTTAAGTTGAAAATATTTGACCAGAGGTCTGAAATTTGTGAAACTACTCCTTGTCTGGAATAGTAGATGTTGGGACGAATCAAACTGACTAAAACGTGTTACCAGGCCAAATCACTGTGTTATTTGCCAAGAACACCAAAGTGAAGCTTGTATACAGTTCATCATGCCCACTAGAATTAGAATAACTTTGTACTGTAAATGACCAATGCCATTAGAAGACAAGACAGCTTTTCAGGTTTCTGTAGCTCTGTGCTAATTAAAATTGGACCAAGCAGCAATGCACGTTGCAATGGTATGATGATGCTTAATCAGAGTGTATATACTGTCCACCACTACAGCATTTGTATCTCTGATGTTGAACTGACCACAAAACTGGTATCAGCTGGTGATTGATGGGACACTGGTTAAAATTGCTGCACTGACTAATTGTTGTAAAGTCTCATTTTCCGCTTAACAGTCATTCACAAGGATGAAACTATTATCATTAGCATCTATTTATTAACTACAGATGTTCTATATTGCATTTGCTTGGTTCTCTGCAATAGCATGCAACATTCAAATTACATTCAAACACGCAGTCTGCAGTATTTTGTACATAATTCTGTCTAGAAGCTTCAAGACAAAACATCTAGAAACAATATCTTTCTTGGACCACACAAGCTGTGTTTGTTATTGTATGTTTAATAAAGAGCTTGTTTCTAAAATGCTTGTATTTTTTGTATTCTTCTTACACTATAAACTGTAGATAAATTACTACTGAATGAATCAGAAACGAATTCCTAGATACCTTTATTCAATTTTCATGGTACTTGGTAAACATTTCATAAAGAGAGATATTGTCCATTTAGGTGATACTGTACATCTATATTATTTCAGGTGGGTAGCTGCGTCAGCATGCGTAGGCTGCAAAGGAACAAGTAATAGGTTTATTCCATGCTGAAAAAAAGAAGAGAGAGAAAACAACGTTTCGGCCATGGAGCCTTCTTCAGCTTCACACCTTTACATCTATATTATATTTTATTATATTATATTTTCTAACTAACTTTAAAAAACAGTCTCAACAGTGCATGACATGAAATGTATTAAATATCAACAGCTAACTGTGGTTATGAGTAACTGTGGTCATAGAGTTTGAATATAACTTTTTTATGTATATACTTTACAACCAGATGATTGTACATTTTTATACAACCAGGTGATTTTGTTTTATTGAGATACTGTGCCTAGAGATCTTTTATGGAGAACAACATTAGATACTGTATAAGCAGGTAAATGCAAAAAGGGAGCTGTATCAGGGGACCAACTTTAATTTGTCAGCAAGTTACAATAAGAATCTGCTTTGCAGTTACCCATCATACTGCTTTGTGAAAATATTATGTTAAGTGTGGTTTTGAAAACATGATGCTCTGCAAAATCACTACAGAGAGCAGACAGAAGCAAACCTAAACGTGTGGTGCCATACTCTTCAAAACTCCTGCTTCATTCATAGAGTGCTGGAATTGGAAACACTTTCATTTGGTTCTAATAGAAGTTTCTACATATTACTTCAAAAAAAAGCATTCATGTGATTTGCAAGTCATTACAACTGGAAAAACAACAACAACATTTTGTCTAAATATTAATAAATTACTTTACAAAAATGGCCTTATCATTCTGAAAATCACAGTGAGCTATGCAAGAAAAAAAGATGCTGATGCAGTGATTCCTGGTTTTATTTTCAAAACAAAGCACACATTTTTGCAGAAGTTGATGAACAAAGCCTTTTTTCTGATAAACAGGTAACCATTTCTGAAATGTGTGTATATATATATATAAATAAATGTATTATATAAACATCAATGTTTATATAATACATTGATTTCCAAGTGTTGCATACTGGCACAACAAGAGGTTATCACTTTATAGATCTTCTCAAATTATTGCTGGCATCATGCCTGATGTATTAGCACTATTTTTTTAGATATAACTCTATAACTTGTGCTGATAAAGCCATTGTACAGTGAAATGTTCAATATAGGCTAGCAGTGGTTAGCATTGCTGCCTCTCATCGCTGTACTGTACTGTATTCTGGATTTAATTCTGGGCCTTGGCTACCATCTGCATGGGGTTTGTGTCTTCTCCCCATATGTGCCTGGGTTTTCCTCCAGGGCCAAAAACATACTGGTAGGTTAATTGGCTTCTGAGAAAAATGTATCCTGCACTCATTGTGTGCCGGGACAGGCTTCAGGTCCCCTGCAACCCTAAATTGCATGAAACAGTTAGAAAAAGGATGGATGGATACTCAGTATAGGTTAAATTCTCTTTGAAAATTCTCTGTAACTTTCCGCTCAGTTTTGGCAGGCTTGTTCTGAATTAAATTCAGATCTCGTTTGGGAGGAATTAAACTATGGATCAGGTGGTCTGTATCAGCAATGTATGATTTGTGTGATTTGTAGCATTTTCTGTGGCAAAAGTAATGCTGCTTTAAATGGTACAACTGTGTCCTACCCTCTACATACTGCCAGACCATGATTTGCTGAAAGACTCCATTTTAAAAATTAAAATGGTGCCAGAATGTACACATGGTAACCCAAAGGGCATAGTACAGTGTTTTGCCAATCCTCTCTGTGCTAGAGTAGAATTGTAAAAGTGTGACAGATGCAGAGGCTTAGGCTAGATCTCAGGTGCATATGAACCTAAAGTGAACTCACTAGAAAGATGTCAAACTGCAAAAGGAGAGACAGTACTGATACACTACTATAAGGATCTGGCAGCTAACTTAGCATCCTTGTGGAGCCAAAGGTGTTACTCTGAATAATTAGCTAAAACAATGGCTCAGGAATCATGGCTGCAAAGATAAAATCATAAGAAAATGTGTCTTTATTAAAAGAACAGCTGCAAAGACTACAGCCACGGAGCTCAAAATACAGTAAACCCTAATGGAAGCATTTATAAGGAAAAGTAGGGAATTGATTGGGACATTGTTACTCGTAGTTCTGTTCAATGTATACAGTATGTACAGCATGCTTGTCTTTGTATAAGGCTATAAAAAGAGCGAAATTACCGCTCCCCAAAAATGTTCATTAAACTACCCTTCTGTACGCCTTTATCACAATATGAATTTACTGACTGTGTGCAACATTCCTGGATCACGTCCCAAGAAAGAAACAGGAGAAAAAATGCCAAGAGTACAGAGCCCATCAGGACATGGTCTCACACTATCTTTTCTCTTTCATCGCCGTAAAACCTATCAAAGCAGAAAAACCTGTGTCCAATGTTCAACGGCGTACTACAGGGAAGAGCTGAACTGTCCAAACGGAAAGCTACAGTAATTGTACACCTGTTCGCATGATGTGCATGACTAAAATATATGTTTATTCTTGAGTTAGACGCTATCGTACTCCAATGTATAGGTTGCTTAATCAAATCTTAGAATCTTTATTGCTTGTGGTCAAATCAGTCAGGCTAAGACCAAAGCAGAAAATACTTTTTTTTTTCAAATAGCATTCTGACGTGCATATTTCCGCTGCCTTCTTTACATATTTAATTCGTAATTTTGTAATTGTACTAAAAACACATTTTAATCCAAATGACAAATGAACTTTATGATAATAGTACAATGTGTTATAGTTTAAGTGCAAAAGGCTAAATCAAACACTTTACATTTTTACATAGACAGAAATCAGACCTTAAAGTCGTGTAAAGAAAGAAAATTCTCACTACAGGTCTGTGTCTATTCATGGACATACTGTATATAAAATGCAGCTAATTAATAACATGCGCTGGATTACTTTTTTGTGAATTTTAATTACTTACTAATTAACATCGTCATACGACTTTGAATCGCGCACATTCTCGCCAAAATTACACGGAAAGACACGAAACGTACCGAGAACTAGCGGTATACTAGTTCAACTAGTACAGAGAAATTTGTGGGATTTTCTAAATGAGGTTATACCACACAAAGTGAGGCGGTGTCATTTCGAGTCGGAAATACACGATATATTCCGGCTACTGCCGAAGCAAGAGAGACATATTGGATTCTTTATGTGGTTATGTCACACAAACCAAGACAGACACAAGTCGGTGAAAGGGAACGAGTTCGTACAGTAGCTTGTGTTCGTGTTGAACTGCAAAAATGGAAACTTTAGACGAGCTCATCATTAAGTTATATGAAGTTCAAGCAGTTAAATTTGGCACATTCCAGCTGAAGAGTGGGATAACTTCACCTATTTATTTTGATCTGAGAGTAATCGTGTCTTACCCAGCTTTACTGAACCAGGTAACGTAACCAGTTTACAGATTTCACATTCACGTGCTTTTGAAAATTCACGTGTTCCAGATCTTGAGTGTTTAAAAATGTCATTCTGCAAGATAAAGTATCTAATATCCTCAAATGTGATGTGACACGCATGCATACACAGAATATCAACATAACAAATTAGTGAAATAAAAGCACGCTATACCAGCACGCTCTCAGCCAAAATGGAAAAACAAGATTTGTGTAAAAACCCAGTGTTCAAACTAACCCCGATCTAATCAAACATTAATTGTATAAGCAGTGAGTAGACGTCTATTTTATTACCTAGTAATAGAGTACTGTTTTACTTTTAAATAAAGAAAATGCTCCCATGGAATATATTCTTACTTATTACTTAGTTTTACTGATTATTAGCAAAAGTTCTTATCAATTAAAATCGTAGTCGATATCACAGCTTTAAAGTGCTAAATAATTCCTCCCTGGTCCTAGAATTCTCTTAAAAATTCATTTCAGCTGACTATATGTCCCTGAAAAGCGATATAGGAAATTCGAGGTGATTTTACTGGCAAAAAATATTGCTATTTTAAACGACATTATGTCTTGAAAGTTTGATGATTATTTAAAAATATTGTTTATTGTTAATACGTTGGTATAAATGGTGGCCTCTCTTGAAACCAATATTTTTTTTGCATTTTTTTGCATTCTGTATCTGGATCATTTCGAAACAGGTGTCCAGCCTTCTCTTCCAGTGTGCTCAGGGCGCAGAAGTGAAGTTTAACAGTGTGTGTGGAGTCCCCTATACAGCTTTACCCTTGGCCACCATCATGTGTTCTGCCCATCAGATTCCAATGCTTATTCGAAGAAAGGAAGCCAAAGATTACGGTATGCGAATTATGGAAAATTGTAGACAATTTTGAATGTAGACATTCAAACATTAACACCAGTTTATTTGCTTAATTTAATCAATCCCTTGTTTATATTATAGGTAATATGGGTAATGTCTTCTCCAGCGACTTCCCATAGTTACATGGGTAATAATGGATCATTTTGACGATGATTCAGTAGTTGTTCCACACGCTGAGCACTGCATTTGAAGTTGCCATGCTTACGTTTTTGTGACGTTCTGCCGGTGTGACACCTGACAAAGGCTTAACGGCTGAAACATTGTTTTTTCTTTCGAATTTTCAGCGTAGAAAGAAAAAGCACAACGCCATTGCACACTGACGCAGCCCCACGCCTGAGCATGTTCTTGTCTTCCGCTGTTGTCACATAATCCCGTTTTTTCTGCACGTGCCTGTGTTGAAGTGACTGATGAGGTATCAGCGAAAAAGCTTGTGCTGTTCCCAAAAGATTTCAAAGAGGTCCACTGACACACAAATCGGAGAATCGCAAAGGATCAAGACCGTTTCCTGTAACTTACTGTATGGTCATCTTTTAGATTGTGTGTCATGTGGGCTTCTTTGATTGTGGAATTGTAGGGGCTGACAAAAGCAAGATATTGATTTGGGGAAAAAAGGTTGTGATGAAAGATCTTAACTTGTTCCCTTTGATGCTTTTTTCTTCTTGTCATCTAAATAAAGGAACAAAACGCCTTGTGGAAGGTACCATCCATCCTGGGGAGACTTGTCTCATTATTGAAGATGTGGTGACCAGTGGAGGTAGCGTTCTAGAGACCGCAGAGGTGCTCCAGACGGAGGGCCTGAAGGTGACCGATGCCATAGTGCTGATGGACAGGGAGCAGGGGGGCAGGTCCAGGCTGGAACAGAAAGGCATCCGCCTGCACGCCGTGTGCTCCATTTCGAAACTCCTGGACGTTCTGCACAAAACTGGGAAGATCGATGCCGAGGTGGTGCGCAGCGTCAGCAGGTTCATACAGGAGAACCGCGCTTTTGAGTCCCCGAAAGGCAACAGTGCGGCCCCAGCAAAGGAAGAGGATGAGAACCTGAGCTACGGCGCTCGTGCTGGGCTGCCTTCGGTGCATCCCTTGGCAGCCCGGTTGCTGAAGCTGATGGAGAAGAAGAAGACCAACCTGTGTCTGTCGGCTGACGTGACGGATTCTGAAGAGCTGCTGAATGTGGCAGATACTCTGGGTCCCTACATTTGTCTGCTCAAGACGCATGTTGACATCCTCCAGGACTTCCAGCCTGACTTCGTCAAGGCTCTGAAAGCTCTGGCGGATAAGCATGAATTCATGTTGTTTGAGGATCGGAAGTTTGCTGATATTGGTAACACAGTGAAACACCAGTACGAAGGTAATTTGACTTAAGTGGGAAACCAGGGCAGTTTGTAGATCCGAGATCTTAGCTAAGAACGTGTAGTAATTGTTTGTGATGGCTAAAGATATTGTAGTTGTCTTTTGTATTAATGGTGCACAGAGTGCTCCATCTCATTTAGGAGATATGTCTTGACTTTATTGGAAAGGGAATGGCAGCCAAGCTGAAATGGAATAAAAAATGTCTTTTGGGACATCCAGATACTTAAGTGTGCTTTTGAAACTAAATCCTTCTAAATAGAAATAATTAAAAAACTTCAAGAGTGTGTTTTTTTTTTTAAATTAAGAACCCTGCATTAGAGTCCTAGATTAGATTTTTGTGTTCAGATCCCTTAGTCCAGATTTTAAAATTGCATTATCCTGTTTTCGTCACAAAATCTTCCTCTGGTTTTCTTCAATAGGCGGCGTGTACCAGATTTCCACTTGGGCTCATGTAGTAAATGCCCACGCTGTGCCAGGCCCTGGGGTGGTGAAAGGACTGAGTGAGGTGGGGAGACCCCTGAACAGGGGTTGTCTCTTGATAGCCCAGATGAGCTCACAAGGCTCCTTGGCGACAGGAGACTACACCCAGGCTACGGTTAGTATTGCAGTTTATACAGAAAATAAATACCACCTTCTTCAACACGGTTTTAATCTATCCTATTACAAAGGACCTGAAGGCTAATATAAAGCACAATTTAAGATCTATGATACCGGTTATTTCACTGTTCCTGAAGCAATACTGTGAACTCTAAACTAAAACAAAAAGAGAGAAATCACAGTATGTGTGTATGAGCCTTCCTGTACTAAGAGTGAAATACAAGCTGTGAATGCAGTAACCAATATTTCCATGTTTTCACAGGTTAAAATGGCTGAAGAACATTCTCACTTTGTATTTGGCTTCATTAGCGTTTCGAAAATAAGCAGTAAACCTGAATTTCTTCATTTGACTCCTGGAGTACAAATGCAATCAGGGGGTGAGTATGGTTCTGCTCTTAAGAGCACAATGAAGAAATAGTCAGATGTGGATCTAAACAGGGGTATATTTGTCCTTAACATCTTGAACAACCTATGGCATTAAAAGTCAAGGAGGAAAATATCTAGCATACTGCATTTGAAAGTGAATTTTAGTGGACCTCTGTACTGTCTTAATGGATTTATATGATTAGAGTTCCAGAATACAAAATTGTACAGTATGATCAGATACAGTGACTTGAAAATGTTATTACCAACTACCAAGTCTCATTTAGATTAATTATAAGTAATGTGTACACAGTGCAGTTTCATGGGTTTACTTAGCAAGACTGACAGCTAGGTTTTGAACGTTGCCACAAGATGGCGCCACAGTATCAAAAATCAAAGATTGCTGCAAAGGTTGACACAGGAAGCAGTTAAAAAGGTAGACTTTCACTTTACTGTGTTTTAGTTCCAATTTAATTTGCTTTTTTGCCAGCATTACCATTAAAAATCTCTTGGCAGTCTGAGTTTGAAATCTATTTTTTTCTGCTTCAGAGAAAAAAAACATTGATTAGTACATGTATCTGCTTCTACCAAACTCCTTCATTTTTTAGCACTTAAGTATAACAGGTCTCGTGTTAATGATTTGAATGGTATAGGCTTACAAAGGCCTTTGACCATTTAAGACAAGTGCTTTATATGAATCCATAGCACTGTGCCATAATATGTATGATGCAAGACTGCTGTCTGTATTTTCATCTATTACTTATGCTGTCGAGAATGCTCTGAAATTGATGAAAAACAGGCACAAGGCAGAGTTTGTTCACAAACGTGTATTTACTGAAAACTGGAAAAAACACAGGTTGGTTGCAAATCAAATGAATAACTTGTTTTACATTTATTTTGAAGGAGATGCTCTGGGACAGCAGTATTTAAACCCAGAAGAAGTGCTTTTTAAGAGAGGTTCAGATATCATCATTGTGGGAAGAGGTATTTTAATGGCCCCAGATCGAGTGAAGGCTGCAGAAGACTACAGGACAGCCGGGTGGGCAGCTTACCTGAAGAGGATTTCTGGACCTCAAACCCCATAATTTCAATCATCAGAAAGAAGACTTACATTCCTAAATAAAAGCAGAAATTCAAATTGGACTTTGGTTTCTTCCTGTTCATACTAGGTGCTATTTTCCACTTTCCAGCCTTGGAAAACTAAATACATTTGAGTTCTAGAACTGCAAAAGCCCCTTTTCAAAATGTAGCATATTCAAAGCAGTTACTTTTCGGAACCAGCAATGTGACATCTTCATTTCATTCCTTCAGCAGCATCGGAGTGAATGTGTAAAGATACACATTAGTATAATAAATCTAAATTGTCAGAATTTAGCATTAACTTCTTTAAATGTTTTTTTTTTTTTTCTGGAGTGTGCAAGTCTTATCTGCTGGGGTTTACTTGACAATCCAGGTAGAGAACCTGATATCTACTACTCTTCTTTCAGATGAGCTCTTGGTTGTTTTAATCAACTCCAAATTTAACAAAAAAAAATGCATTGGCCATTTTTGACATTTTGTATAGAAATGTCAAATTATTTTTTACAGTTAAAGATTCAGTTGTAAAAATAGATTTCAAAATACTCTTGAAGTCCTTGTTTTTTGTTTGAAGCTGGAAACAAAAGTTCTTATCAAATCATTGGTTCAGTTATATATTTGACTGAAAACCAGCATTGCAGGTAAAAGATTAGTAAAAATGATATTTCATCCCTCCCAGGGCTACTATTGGACAACCCCAGAATATGTCTTTAAAATTTCATTTTAGCTAAGCTTCTGTTTTATCTAACTAAATGTGTTATTGTCTTTTACTACTCAATAGTATTTACCTAACAGATGCCCTTCTACAGAGTGACATTAAAATGTACAAAATGTGCATTAAGTGCAAGTACAAGGAGCAATCATGCAGGTACAGCAAGGCAAAAATACTAACCGTGAAGCTAGAACACACTGGCAGTCTTCAACTGAAGGGCTGCTCAGAATAATTGAAATGGTAAGAATTAAAATAGTACACAAAGTGGATACATACATTTCTAGTCAGAGAATTAAAAACATTAGTACCTTACAGTATAAGAGTCATTGAAAAATGTAGATGAGAACTGAGAAATCAAAGGCACTCTCTGAACATATGTGTTGTAAGGTGGACAGGAACCATGCAATTGTAATTTTACTGAGTATTTCCTCCACAGAGGAATAAGATTATAGAAACAAAGGTCTCTGGTACTGGAAATCTGGCAGAAGAATAACAAAGAGGAGGCAGAGAGATAGAAAAGACTGAAGATAGGCAAGAGCAGAGTGTTTTATATAATGGTAGATAATAACTAGGGTTTTTTTGTAGCAGAGCGTGCAGCAATAGACAGCAAGTGGAAGAACTAGAGTAGAAGGAGCAAAGAGAGTGAGAGAAAAGACAATGTGAGAAATGAATCTGGGATGAGTTGAAGGGGGCAGAGACAGTAGTGTTGACATTGGGTGGGCCAGGAAGTCAATATTAGTCTAGGTGGAAGAGTATCATTTTCAAATATACAATTTTTTGTCACTTTTTCTCCCCCAGAGAGTGAAGAAAAAGAAGGAAATTACAGGAGGTCAGGCTTCAAATAATTTATTTTAAGATTATGAGAGTCTATCGAGAAGGAGAAGGCTCTGGGACAAGCAGAGACATGCGAATCAGTGGAAGGAAAAGAGAGGACAGTCTGAGCCTCATTAGCATAAAAGTGGTACAAAAAGATGTGGGAAGCAATGAAATGAACCAGGGTGTCATTACAGAATAAGAGATGCAGGGGACCCAGGACAGAACCTTTGGGGACACTGATGGCAGGACAGCAGACCCCACTAGTAGAGCTGCTATGACATTTAACAAGGACAGAAGAGAACCAGGTGTGTCCACTGACAAACATGTCTAGCGCTGAGAGAGGTGATAGAAGAATAAAGGGATCAAGTGTCGAAGAAGGTGTGAGATCAAGGAGGATTAAGACACATGAAATGGAGGGAGCATACTGTAATCTGAGTGAAGAGAATCATTAACCTGAGAGCAGCTTCTGCTCGAATGTGTGAAGTCAACATCGAACTGGAGAGTGTCAAGCAGCAAGTCAAGCAAGAGGAAAATGGAGGGCTAAGCAATGCATCATCTTCTCAAGGGTTTTAGAAAAAAAGGGAAGAAGAGAGAAAGAACAGTAGTTCTTCAAGAGATGTGAGACATAGTGTGTTTTTTTTAAGGGATACAGAATCAAATGGAAAAAGACTGAAAAAAAGAGTATAGGGGTGTTGAAGAGAGAAGAAATACAGTGTAGGGGAAAAAAATCAGTTAGGGATAAACCTGAATGGTAGTTTTATGGCCCTGGACCAAAGAGAAGATATCCAAATCATGTCTCTAACTCACACTAGCTCTAACATGCAAAAAGATGTTGCATGCTGCTAATCTCTCCAATTCTGAAAAGGGGCTTTGCCTTTCTGAACAAACAGCTTAGAATCTTTTTACAAATAGGTGTGATACTAGCAATTTGCCAGTGTTGACACAGAATGTTGTTTTGTGAGTCCATTGGTTGACAGCTGTCTGTATTGACCTTAGCTATGATGTGACATAGTTGTTGTTCTGTTTCCAGATGAATTATCATGGATTCTTGTTTTTAAAATGTCATTGAAGCATCCATTTCCACATGTGAGTGCATTTATAAATCCACACTGCACGAGACCTCATTTACATTTTCTAATGTATCTGAGACAGGAAGGGTTTCCCATACTGAATTTAATGGTATTCAACCAGGGGAGCTTCACAGTACCATATTATGTAAAGATGTCCAAGTTGAACTATCCTGTTTCATCAGATGTCATAGAAACACATTGATTTTGTTCAATTTTCATATACCGTGCCTGCAATCACAATCTGGCACAGTATGCAGCTTTTCAAACTAACTGTGTATTATATTGAAAATCTGATACTCTTTAATCCATTACACATATCCCACTTACTTAAGTGACGTTAGAGATACTATACATAAAATAGTTTACGTTAGAATAATTCAGAGTCTTGCAGGATAAAATGATGTTTAAGAATCTGTGGTAAGAGCCCAAAAAAATCCACTTTAACAAAGGGTCAAGGACAACAAGAAGTCTTCTCTGCATAATCCTGAAACTATCTGTAAAATTGAGATTTAAATTATGCTTTATGGTATATCACACACCTGACCTTCATGTGTTCATAAGAGCAAGAGGAACTTGCACAGCAGCTTTTGTCCAAACTCAGGGAAGCACAGAAAATGCACTCTGACCCATGTACAGTACTTCCTAGTGATAAAAATACAACAATGTTGTAATGTGTATGTCAGTGTTTGACTGTTCCTGTGTTAAGGACTTTCGTATTGTTTACTGAGCACTGTATACAGTATCTACTAGAATTTACACAGATACTGCAGTTCATCGAAAGGCTTCAGCTCAGTTTCTGCTCTTCTCCGTAGTCATCTCAACCACACACATCGTTTATCACACCTATGGGTGCATGTTTAGATATACAAAAAAGAAGTGCATAACACAAACCAGGAGAACCTGTATGTATAAATAAAAAGCTTACATTATTTTTACATTAATCTATTATGAAACACACACTAGTGTTTTATTGTTCAGATTAGAAGTCATCCTTCCCTTCTCCTATTCTTTCACTGAAAATTTGCTTTTCAACTTTATATTTTTAATTTTTATTGTGGGCTCTTCAGAGTGATTTTGCTAGCCTACAACGAAAGACCAGGAAGCGGGCTCAATTTGCAAGCCGTATGGAAATCTTTGTGTAAATTAGTTGCAGCAGGTGGGTGGAAAAAAGCGAGACAGGTGCTTTTTTTTTCAGCTTAATGAAACTGCTCTATGCGCCACTCAATGCACCTTTCTATTCTATTTTACAATCATCTCCGAGTGCAGAGATCAGCCAACAGACCTATCGTATCACCTCCATCAGCCCTAATTAACAAACTGACACACTCGTAAGTTTGCATAGAGTCCATGCTGGAAAAGCCAAGGGACTTAATCACCTCCCTCGGCCCACCCCCTAGTCCTTGTGTAAATATTTGATCAGAGCAAACGCACCGTGCGACAGGTGTGCAGAAGAGGATCCTCTCTCTTTAAAGACTAATATATTTTCCCCCCTCTTACCTCTTCTGATAAATGGAGGGGTTGCTATTTTTACCCTGACTATATAAACTGGTCTTCTGGCGTACAGGTTCATTTCCCCTAAGGACGCAGAAATGAAAAAGGTGACATTTCTTCGGGAGAACTGCCGACGTGTCATTCACTGGAAAGCAAACAAGCTAGTGACAGGTAAGACGTTCGTGTACGTGATTCAGACTCTACATCTCAACTTTCGGTAACAATTCTAATCAACCGCCACTCTGTTCCTTTTGTTCAATTGATTACATCCCAGACTTTAAACTAATTTTGTTTGATTCCTCTCGTTTTTTCAAATTGGTTTAGGACCTCACCTTACATGGAAATGAAGTTCACCTGGACAGGTTTGGTAGAAGAAGACAACCTGAAGACGAAACCTGTTCTTTTCAGAACCTGAACACGACATCGCAAAGGTCAAACTACTCAGATTCAAGAAGAGTTCTGCAGAAAATGACTTTAGGGTTGTGTTGACCTTACACGGAGACTCAGATTATTTCTGTATTTGCCTCACGTTGAGCCAGACGTACAATACCTGAAGACGAAGTTTTGTTCGTTCGGCTCGCGTTAAGCAGGTACAGATTGTCGACCCATCTGAATCCAGAACCACGAAAATTAAACAACGATATTTACTTGGAGAGATAAAAAGGACAGAACCTATAACGGAGGCGCGTAAATTATGAAACCGAGGACTACTTCAAATTGAGCCTTTATTCAAAAACGTTCAATTTAATAAATCGTCCTAGGGCAGATTTTTAAGCGAGGGATTTTCAGATTTTTAGATATTTTATTTATTTTTGAAGCTTTACCTTCTCTGTTAAACGTATAGAGTACTTGGTACAGGTTTGATAGACTTCATATTCGTCCTCGCCCCTTCTCTGTATTTCACTTAGAAAGTGTATATTTGATTTACACCATTCGAAGTCATGGTGTGTGAAGAAAATATCGCGTAGCGTTTAGGT